GGGGGGGGGGGGGGGGGGGTGGGGGGGGGGGGAGCTATTAAGAAAAGTAATAATAAAGAATATTTCATTACTTACGAAGTAAATTTAATGTGAAACATGGCCTCGTTTTTCGGTATTCAGGAGCTGTGGCTGTTCTCAAGATGTCTTCCAAACGATCATCACTCAAATATGGGCGTGGCTTGCATTTATTCATGTTCATTATTGAAAATCTCTGTTGACACAGATCAGTGATTCCAAACACACTCACAGTTTTTGGTGCAACTTCGTAAAGAATTGTGTGCTTCTCACAGTGAAGATTTTTTTTATAAAACTCCTGCAGGCTGCTCTCTCTCTCTGTGCTTGCTTTGGTGAATTGCCGAAGATTGTAGTTCGATAAGCTCCAGGTGCAACTGAACTGGTATGTCCTCGGGATTCACAGAAAATGGATCCTCAATTTAAACTGAATTTCTTCTTCTTGAGAAAGAGTGAGTCTTATCAAATTCTTCTATTAAAAGATTAATTTCACTAGCAAATTGTTTTCCAAACACGACGTGCTTGTCCTGAGGCACATGCTGTGCACAAGTGGAGAACTGAATCATGCTGTGCACAAGTGGAGAACTGAATCATGCTGTGCACAAGTGGAGAACTGAATCATGCTGTGCACAAGTGGAGAACTGAATCATGCTGTGCACAAGTGGAGAACTGAATCATGCTGTGCACAAGTGGAGAACTGAATCATGCTGTGCACAAGTGGAGAACTGAATCATGCTGTGCACAAGTGGAGAACTGAATCATGCTGTGCACAAGTGGAGAACTGAATCATGCTGTGCACAAGTGGAGAACTGAATCATGCTGTGCACAAGTGGAGAAGTGAATCATGCTGTGCACAGGTGGAGAAGTGAATCATTTCACCATTTTACAAAAACTGGGTTTTGAAAAGTTTCGTTTTCAGTTTAAAAGCTTTTACTACCGCAAACATTTCAAATACAAGTTGTTGCTGACCTTGAAGTTGAACATTAAGGCCATTCAGATGTGTTGTAATATCACAAAGGAAGAAGAGGTCATGATTCCGGGACTCATTTCAAGCTCAGGGAATTCATTTTCTTCGTCTCCCAGGAATTTAGGCATTTCCGTCTTCAAAGCAACGAATCGCTGTAGCACCTTCCCTCGGCTTAACCATCTCACGTCTGCAGGGTATGTGACGTCTCTTTAGTCGGCGTCTGTAGCTTTAAGAAAAGCTTGGAAAGCCTTATGCATGAGTCCTCTTGATCGTATGTGGTTAACTATTTTGACAACAACCGAAATAACATGTTCTAAGACTTGTCTACACAAAGACTGCAACATTTTGTTATTTGCCTTCCGCTATAATGTTCAAGTAGTGCAACTGCTCCCTTATTAACACCCGTCATATTCCGGGAACCATCGGTACAAATGGCCATTAATTTTATAAAAATCTAATCCCAAATGATCTGTTAAGCACTTCATCACTTCATTGAAGATATCTTTTCCGGTTGTGCGACCTGACAAGGAGCACATTCCAGAAAGTTCTTCGGTCATTTCAAAGTTTTTGTCAGCACCGCTAGTGGAAATGAGAAGTTGGACGGTACCATTTAAATCTGTGCTTTCGTCCATAGCTAGAGGATACAAAGAAAATTCACAAGCTTTCTGCATTAATTGTTCTTGGAGATTGGTGGAAACATCAGTTATTCTTCTTTGCAGTGTCATTCGCGATAAACTGATGTTTTGAAATAACAAACACTGTTTTTTCCGGACATAATTCAGACGTGGCAATCAGCATGCACCTCTTTACAAATTCGCCTTCAGTGAAGGATTTCCCAGCTGTAGCAATCTCCCTTGCAATAAAAAAAAGCTTATCTTGGTAGCAGTCTCATTTTCACCGTTCTTTCTCTTGAAAAATGTCTGCTCTCCAGTGAGAGTTTTCGATAGATTCGTTCCTATAATGGATTTTTCATTTTGGTCCAATTTTGACAAATTAGGATGTTTAGATTGAAAATGCCGTCGAAGATTAGACGTCTAGACTCTTTCGGCGCACGGTGTCACGACATATGAGGCACATCATCTTGTCCTTGAACACTGTTAATAAGTATTTATTTGTCCATTCAGGATAACAAATTATGTGCTCTATCTCTAGTTTTCTCTTTCTGCTATGAGTCATGGCACTTGAATATTTCAATTACACGTCTATAATCTATAAGTATAGTACCGAACTAAATGCACAGAATATCAAAATAACGCGATACGTGAGTTCAACACCACACAATTCTACACAATATTAGAAACATAGTAAAAGGCTACTCTGCACAGAAGACACTAGTTTTAAACACATTGTTGATTGACAAGACGTAAGCGCGGGCAACCGTAGCCAATTTCCCTCGAGAAAGAGTAATTGCTCGGGAAAAGCGTGCGTGTGTTATGAAATGTGGTCATGAGGAAAGAAAACGTGTAGTGAGATATTTACACCACGATTAAAAATTAGAAGATCTAACTTGATTGGAGTAAATAAAACAAAATATTACTTTCAAGTATGCGTGGGGAAAATTTAAAAAAAAAAAAAAAAAATTTAATTGATTATTTAAAATTGAAATAAATATGTATTGTATTATACTGTATATATACCTATCGTAATATTATATATCAATAAGCTATGGAATATTAATATATAATATTATGATTTTTCGCCAAAGTCTTTGCGGGCCACAAAGTGGGTTCTCGCGGGCCGTATCTTGTGCAGGCCTGTTCCCAGTGCAAGAACGTATGATAATACTCTGATTTCTGAACAATGGAGTTCTAAAAGTATTTAGAATGGTTTTATGGTAGGGTTGGGGCCAATTTAATAGATATTACTTCTGCTTCATTTTTAAAAAAATTTACTTCTTTATTTTTTTTTTTAAAATGTACTTCTCTTTTATTTAAAAAAAAAAAAAATTGTACTCCTCCTTAACTTAAAAAAATTGTACTTATCCTTTATTTTATAAAATTGTACTTATCCTTTATTTTATAAAATTGTACTTATCCTTTATTTTATAAAATTGTACTTATCCTTTATTTTATAAAATTGTACTTATCCTTTATTTTATAAAATTGTACTTATCCTTTATTTTATAAAATTGTACTTATCCTTTATTTTATAAAATTGTACTTATCCTTTATTTTATAAAATTGTACTTATCCTTTATTTTATAAAATTGTACTTATCCTTTATTTTATAAAATTGTACTTATCCTTTATTTTATAAAATTGTACTTATCCTTTATTTTATAAAATTGTACTTATCCTTTATTTTATAAAATTGTACTTCCCCTTCATGAAAAAAAAAATGAGCTCGTTTAATGAAGACACAATTTATTCCTTTCAATGTGCCATTTTGCCACTCTTCAATTTACATACCGGGTGCATCTGCTCTCTGCCCTAGCGCCCCCCCCCCCGGCCACCACCATTTGCTATGGTAACCGACAAGAGAAAACGGACGCTATAAAGTTTTATAAACACTGATTAGTTTTATTACTATGAAGCATAATCGTTTCCTTATCGTCTTAATCAAGCCTACAACTACTTCAATGTCGTCGGCAGGTTCGTGTGGACGAAGCTACTACACCCCCAGGATGGTGGTGTCCGATCAGGACACGCCCACGACAGAAGATGGTGATCTCTTGACACAAACATGCAAGTGGGTCATTCAATGAAAAATTGTGATTAAAATAAAGGGAAATAAGGGGGGGGGGGGTGGGTGGGTGGAGGGTAGATAGTATTTTTTATATTTTTTACAGTTTTGATTACTGCGAAAGTGGGGGGGGGGCAGTTTGGACTAGTGTGTAGTCACTGCAGTGGCGTAGCGAGGGTGTTTGGCGCCCGGGGACAAGATCCATTTTAAAGCGCCCCCTTTTTTTTTTTTCAACTCTAAAACCCATTATTTTACCAATAATATAATATCAAATCACATTTTGGCGCCCCTAACTAGCTTGCGCCCAGGGACATTTGTCCCCCTGCCCCCCTCCCCCATCGCTACGCCTCTGAGTTACTGAAGAGAGTAGGCCATTGTAGAGGGTTGGCGTAATTAGGTTGAGTGTTATGGTAGGGGGTGACTTATTTTGAATTCATTCAATTCGAGTAAGGCTTAACCAAAACAAAAAAACACACACAAAAAAAGAAACAAGTAAATTCAAAACTTATGTTCAATTTTCTCCTTTTATTTGCATAGCCATGTTATATAAAAAAAATAATAAATTTTTAAAAAGAAAACTTTCCTAAAATGCTAGAGCTTACGTCACATTTCATCCCACTTCTCAGAATTGTGTTTTTAAATCCATTTATTTAGACTGCTTTGATATCTCTTTAAACACTCTTCAAAATTTTCTCAGACCCATCGGAACTTTTATTTTTCTGCAACAACTAAATCTTTCTCCGACCATTTTCTCTAACATACTTTCCGAAACAAAAGCTTCTCTCTTTCACCTGGCTGATCCCTTTCATTATAAACTATGCAACCTGCTATGCCAACCACCGCTATCTCCATGTTCCCTTTCATTGTGAACTATCCAACCTGTTATACCAACCTCCTGTATCTATCTCCATGATCCCTTTCATTATAAACTATCCAACATGTTATGCCAACCACCTGTCTCTACCTCCCTGATCCCTCCAACTGACTCGTTGACCACCTCGCCACTGTTTCTATCCACTCAGCTGCTGTGTCGGGAGGGTCAAGGCCCTGAGGATCGTGGAGCTGGACTGCAACCTTGGCAAGAAGAAGAGGGGGTTCTACACCCTGCTGGACGGGTGTGAGTGCAGAGCGTGCGGAGCTAAAGGTATCCTCAGACCACATAGGTGTTTGGGGGGGGGGGGGGTTCTCGGGTAGGGGGGGGGGGTGGGGGGGGGGTGGGGGGGGGGGGGGGGGGTGGGGGGGGGGGGGGGGGGGGGGGGGGGGGGGGGGGGGGGGGGGGGGGGGGGGGTGGGGGGGGGGGGGGGGGGGGGGGTGGGGGGGGGGGGGGTGGTGGGGGTGTGGGGGGTCTGGTGTGGGTGTGGGGGGTGGTGTGTGGGTGTGGGGGTCTGGTGTGGGTGTGGGGGTCTGGTGTAGGTGTGGAGGTCTGGTGTAGGTATGGAGGGTCTGGTGTAGGTGTGGAGGTCTGGTGTAGATGTGGAGGGTCTGGTGTAGGTGTGGAGGGTCTGGTGTAGGTGTGGAGGTCTGGTGTAGGTGGGGAGGTCTGGTGTAGGTGTGGAGGTCTGGTGTAGGTGTGGAGGGTCTGGTGTAGGTGTGGAGGTCTGGTGTAGGTGTGGAGGGTCTGGTGTAGGTGTGGAGGTCTGGTGTAGGTGTGGAGGGTCTGGTGTAGGTGTGGAGGGTCTGATGTAGGTGTGGAGGTCTGGTGAAGGTGTGGGGGGTCTGGTGTAGGTGTGGAGGCCTGGTGTAGGTGTGAAGGGTCTGGTGTAGGTGTGGAGGTCTGATGTAGGTGTTGAGGTCTGGTGTAGGTGTGGAGGTCTGGTGTAGGTGTGGAGGGTCTGGTGTAGGTGTGGAGGTCTGGTGTAGGTGTGGAGGGTCTGGTGTAGGTGTGGAGGTCTGCTGTAGGTGTGGAGGGTCTGGTGTAGGTGTGGAGGGTCTGGTGTAGGTGTGGAGGTCTGTTGTAGGTGTGGAGGGTCGGGTGTATGTGTGGAGGTCTGGTGTAGGTGTGGAGGTCTGGTTTAGGTGTGGAGGGTCGGATGTAGGTGTGGAGGTCTGGTGTAGGTGTGGAGGGTCTGGTTTAGGTGTGGAGGGTCTGGTTTAGGTGTGGAGGTCTGGTGTAGGTGTGGAGGTCTGGTGTAGGTGATGAGGTCTGATGTAGGTGTGGAGGGTCTTGTGTAGGTGTATTGTGTAGGTGTGTGGTTCGAATGTAGGTGTGGAGGGTATTGTGTAGGTGTGGGGCTATTGTGTAGGTGGGGGGCCTGGTGTAGGGGTATTGTGTAGCTGTGGTGGGTCAGGTGTAGGTGTGGGGGTATTGTGTAGCTGTGGGGGGGTCTTGTGTAGGTGTGGGGGTATTGTGTAGGTGGGGGGGTCTGGTGTAGGCGCCGGGGAGATAGTTGTAGAGGGTCGCGCGGTTAGATGTAAGGGTTCAGGGAGTAAGATGGAGGGGTCGGCAAGTAAGGTGTAAGTGTAGGAGTGGAAGACTAAGATTCAGGGGTCGGGGTCGTTGAGTTCAGTTGTATATTATTATTATTAAGTGTGGGCGGATTCAAAAAGAAAAAAAGCTCACTTGAGTAAGGTGTGAGGATCGTTACTTACATGACATTGTGTTGTGCTCGACAGTTTCCATTGACTCAGAAATCCATTTACTCCCAACGCATTTCAGGCGATAGCTTTTCCTCAAACAAGAAACATAGTAACAGTGCTCCGTGAAGAGATGTTACGTAAAGAGATGTTACGTGAAGAGATGTTACGTCCAGAGATTACAGAAGAGAGGATAGGCCTACCTTGCACAGTGCTTTTAATAGCTTAAATATTTCTTAAATTGTTCAAAGTTATTTACGATTTATTTCCTGTTACATTGGGTTTATGTTTATGTCGTTGCTTTTGGTGCCATGTTATGTACTGTAATAAATACAAATAAATTTATGCTTAAACCACAGAGAGAGCTTTAAGCTGATGCTGAACTGTCTTTGACAAGTGATGCTCAGATGTCTTTGACAAGTGATGCTCAACTGTATTTGAAGAGTCAGTAATATTCATTAAGCATTTCTTACCATATTTGGTTTGTGGGGACCCAAGGAGTGGGAATGTTAAGTGTAACATGTAGGTCAAGCCCAAGCATGCACAATTTAAAAAAAAAAAAAAAAAGAAGTTAACATTGTGGATTTTTTTTTCTCTTATGATCATATTATTTTATTTTCTGAACTTGTTCAACAATAGCTATCCCAGTGATGGCGAACAAGGGGACAGAACTCTTGGGAAGAAAAACTGGGATTGTGTGCACCTGTCAAGTATAATATAAAGTTGAAGGGAGTCATCACTTTATCATTATCAAATCCCCTTGGGGTGATAAGCATATTATTCTCACTTGCCTGAAACCACCTCAAAACAACCACTTCCTTGTAACCACCTGTTGCCCATCACCTTACACACCCCTCAGAAACTACCTAGGCTGTACCAATTTTTATTTATTTTTTTTTTAATTTTTTTTTTATAAAAGTGAATGCCATGTTTTGCTTCAGACAAAGGGCAGTAATAGGTGTGGGTAATACTAATTGTGGGCAATAATTTTTGTAAGTAGATAAAAGAGCGAATAATCAATGTGCTGTCCATTATTGACAAGCTAGCATGAACCCACACCTCGTGCTGACAGGCTAGCCACATCCACGGTTACCGGAAATTTGATCGAAAGAAATTTCGTCGACGGTAAATTGATCGACAGTAATTTGATCGAATCTTTTTTTCCTTTCGCGCGTTAAAATTTTCGTCAAATTTCTTTTTGAACGCACTATACTATGTAGTAAAACAAAATAATTCGTTCAAAAACAAATTTGATGCAAAATTGTAACGTAAAAATTGAAAAGAAGATTCGACCAAATTTCCATTCGATCATATTACCGTCGACCAATTTACCGTCGACGAAATTTCTTTCGATCAAATTTCCGGATACGCACATCCACACCTAGTACTGACAGACTACCCTGAACCCACACCTCGTGCTGACCGGCTAGCCACATCCACACCTAGTACTGACAGGCTACCCTGAACCCACACCTCGTGCTGACAGACTAGCCACATCCACACCTAGTACTGACAGGCTACCCTGAACCCACACCTCGTGCTGACAGACTAGCCACATCCACACCTAGTATTGACAGGCTACCCTGAACCCACACCCAATATTGAAAGGCTACCACCCCACACCTAGTATTGCCCACACCAAATATTGACAGGCTACCCCACACACTTTCCAAATCAAAAACACATTTTAGTTTGAATTAGTTGTTTAGCAGGTAAAACTTACTACAAATGGATTTCATCAATCAGAAGAACATCTCAGTATTTCAACAGTAACAAAGCTAAGTAAATTGAGACTAAGATTCTGGTTTTGTGGAAACTTGTTGAGATACTGGCTAGGAATGTCAGGGAAAACAAAAATGCATGGATGTCACATGCTAACTTTATTTAATAAACAAGGATGTCACTCGCTAACTTTGTGTCAAAACAATTATAGTTTAACAATGAGATGATACATCATCCAACAACAACTATACTGTGATTGCAGACTTAATAATAACAGAACCAAGATATTTTTTTAAAAACTTCATACTCACAATTTTCAAGAAATAACAGTTAACAAAAGTTGTTGTTTTTTAAATACACTTTTTTTGACCTACAAAACGAACAACATTAGCAAATATATAACTTGGATTATTAAGAAATAAACTGGCGAAAAAAAAATTAAATGAAATTTTTATTTTATATAAGCTTGTGTATTTTTGTTTATAAACTAATCTTGGTAACCCAGCAATAGTAAAAGGCATCATCAAGTTTGTAATGGGAGAATTTGCTTTATATAATCATTAACCTCATGTACTAATAACAAATGGTCATATTACAGACAGGTTTAAAAGTTACAAAAAATTAGAACATTTGAACATAATTTATCTTCTCTTGTTTACAACCAGTGAATAAAACCGTCACACTGGAATCTGCACATGCTCAAGCAGCTTATAGGTCTGGAGCTTCAAATTTTGTTTAACCATGAGGTTAAACAATTATCTTGTGGAATTCTTAACATTAATTTTAAAATCCCATTTCTTTGGTCACTGGAATTGTTTTCTTTTCAGAAAGGCATCTTTAAAGATATATTTTTTTTAACTGAATTAATTTCTGCAAAAAGGCTAAGACATAAGAGAACCATTCCCCCACCACAGAATGATTGTGAAGCAATGGTGGCAGAGGGAGACAATGTCCTATCACATCTGATACGAAAGTCAGAAAGAAAATAACATGGGTAGAGGGACTTTAAAGTGAATTAAACTCTCATTTTGATCTGTGTCAGGACACGTAGAAGTGCCAGGGTGAGATTAATGACAGTGTCACATGATGACATTATGATAAACGTAGGTCGTGTTTGTAAGTGAAACATACAATAATGTAATAATATCTTATTTCTTGTTAGCGCAGAATCATATGCTGACATAAGACCAATATATAATACATGATATTTTTATTAGCCGACTTAAAGGTAAATAGTTAATTTTAATTTGTAAGTATAGGAGATAGTCATAGTATATGCACAATTCGTAATATGTTGTTGAATACTCAACAAAACATAACAACATTATAAGGATATTTCATTCAAAAGCAGGTGAAACTTAAGTAAAACATATTTGACTTAACCTCTAACACCACCAGAAAGTTTTTAAAAAATCCATCATTAAAAAAATAGAGAGAAAATATTTTGCCACATATTTTTTCTGTGTCTATGTTTAGCATGCTCAGTAAATTTACAGTATATCACATATTTTAAAACAAACCAAAGATATTTAAATTAGGGGTTCTCAACCTATTGTCCAAACAGAAATGTCAAATTGAGCTGAATAAACCCCACCATTAGATCCTTACCCTTTCAGCAAACAGGGGGTTTGTACAAATTTTCAAAATTGTCAGGGAATCAAGCACATACATAATTTGCAAGTGGATGGTGAGTCAAAAAAAAAAATAATGAAACATTGAGAACCACTGAATTAACAATTTCATTTCCGATTTCAGGTTTCACTTAGGACCAGCTTAAAACAAAAGTCTCTGAAACAGATTTAGCTTAAACTGACAATACCCCCCCCCCCCCTTTTTCACTGCCATCACTTTCGGCTATTACAGCTGAGTCACATCTCCTTGGTTTAGACATTTAGAAGAGATTAATTTAACAGTTAACAGAACATTCTTCACAGTAACTGTAAATCTAAAATTAATTACGTTGGTAAAAATAATAAATACATTACATAGTTTTTGAAACAAAGAAATCACAACTTTTATTATGAATCATGAAAATAATAATATTAAATAATTTGTCCATTTTTCTAATAGTTCCCCAGATAAACAATGGTTCAAAGCAAATCGAGATGCTTGGACTGGAAGAGTCCATCCTGCACAAGCAGGGGTGTCTCCGAGGAAACTTGGGACGTCCACATGAATTTGCTTCTTCGTGGAGTGGCGGACTAGTAGGGTGGATTTTTCCACCCGAAGCCAAAAACCCCAGGCGACCGATACAAATAGTTTTAGCTATGTAGCCGTGAGAGAGCCGCTCCAAAGCGACCATTTTCGTCCCAGCTTTTTGTCCTGACCAAAAGACTCCTTGGGCGGCGGTTATGCAACACCATTTCCCCCCGAAGTGGAAGCAAACCCACCCAAACCCTCTGGGAGAGTTGGCTGCGAACGCTTTAAACGCAGCGTTTCTGGGCGTCCCCCAGACCTGGAGGGAGGTTACTGGCGTGCCACCGCACGGTCTGGCAGCAGGGAAACACAGCTTCTGGCCCGTGTGGAGGTGTGCCGGGGGCAACATTTAGAGTTGCACTCGACGGCCCACCAAAACCATCTCAATGTGATGTATTTAGTAGTGGAAAAGTGACTTTTTTTTTTATCTCAGGGAAGAGCAATGCTGCTGTGACCAGCATTCCCTCAGTTTTAAATTTGTAATAATTTGATGATAAAATTGGAAAAATTCAAATAATTAATCCTTTTTTTTTTCCTCCCCCAAATTAAATATAGACTACAAATCCATCACGTTTAACATTTTACAGTCCCGTCCCCCCCCAGAATGCTTGAAAAATATTTCTTTGAATCTGCTTCAGCAAAATTTATATTTAAAAATGTTGATGCCAAAAGTGGAAATTTTCAAAGAATCATTTATTTTTTCCCAAATTAAATATAGACTACAAATGCATCAGGTGTAACATTTTCCGGATGTTTTTCCCCCAGGAATGCTTCCAAAACATTTCTATAAATCTGCTTCAGCAAAAATTATCTTTAAAAATTTGAAGTTGAAAATCAACATGCACCTTTTTGGGTACTAAATACACAAATAATCAATTATAAAAATACAATTTCTTTTAATACAACATCAAATATAAATAGGATTTTATTCTTTTTTTTTTTTAAAGGAAAAAGTTGTAAAGACCCAACAAATTAGTATGATAAAATTTTTTAAGGTATCCATAAGTTGTTTTCTCAAATATATATTAATTTAAATTGTATAAAATAAAATTTATCAGTTCCATCACAAAAATATAAACATACTTCAAAAATAGACAGTGGGTGCAGAACAAAACATGATAGAATGTACATTTTTCAATACAATGTGAGCTTCTCTTTTCTTAAGGGTAAAAGTTACAATTGAAGAACTGTTGTCACAATAAACAAAAACAGAAGAATTAAATGTGTTTTTAGTCCAGGTCAAGTCAATGCGAAAACATCATGTAAAAGAGTTACAATTTTAAATTTAAGAACATGGTGTGTGTTTGTTGATTTCACTATCATGCTGTTACATAGGGAACAAATATATTTGAGGTGGCTTATTTCTAAACCTTATAACTTACTGTAGTACAAAATAAATAAATCTATATATATATATAAAAATAACAGAAAAAAAGAATGGGTTGGGTGTGTGTAAAGATGGAGCTCTCATTCAATTTTAGAAACATGTGTAAAATGTTTTTTACATTAGCAGACAGCCCCCCAACCCCCATGGATTTATTTCCTTTCATCTTTAAATTTATTACATAAAGATTATATGAGAGAAGTAACAAATTTTGTGCAAGGTAATTTGGGAAAGTTGTTCTTATATATTTTTGTTTAAATTTTCTTTATGTAACTGATCATTTCAAAATAAAATAAAAATCTATTTGAGTACTGAGCACATGAATTTTTGATTAATTATTATTATTCATCTCATTTGTCTCAAAATGAGAAGGTTCAAGTTCAAACATAATAATTTTTTACCCAGGACAAATTATGTTGATTAACAACATAGTATTTTAAATTAAAAATTGTGGCACTTCAAAGCTCTTAACATTAAAAAAAATAAAAATACATTATACAAGTGATCACAAATTTTACTACATTAATTTTGAATATAATTTATTCAATTCAAAGGTGCTAAATCTAGAGGCCTAACAGATCCTACAATGACAAAGTTAAGGCTTTAAGTAAATTATCTTATGCAGGCACTCATCACTAAACAGCAGAGTTCTTTTCCAATGACAGGTTATCAGTGACTGTGTTAGTAATAAAAAAATAATCATTTAGTTATTTTAAAATAAAAAAATTGTTTAAATTTTTTGTTTTTCTTTAAAGTTTATCAAGTTCAAAAAGGTGGAAGAGGATTAACCCCACTGAAATGTAGGTGGTGAGTCAAATGGTAGTTAAGGGAGCAGGTGGTTTAAGTGATGAGTACCTATACTGGGCATGTCAAGGATCAACTCCAACCAATAAACTGGCAGCATTTTCATTAAATGTTAGCAAGGTGAGGTAACCATATCACCACAACACTTAACATTCATTTTTAAACTGATGATTTGATTCCTCATATTTCAACAGCAACTACGAGTTTTAAATATACTAGCTGCAAAGGCAACACTATTTAAATCCCTTTGTGATCTCTCTGATCAAAATGTGAGCTCTCTGATCAAAACAAAAAGATGTTTTAAATTTCCTTTGTCTAAGACACGCAGGCAATGTGACATTAAATTTAGCATCTATTCCGGTGCTATGAAGATACTTGGGACAGGCTTGGCCTCCGGGTTGGTGGACAAGGTATCAACAGGCACAAACACTTTGCTCATGATTATGTCTTCGATCTTCTGACCGGTGAGATTGCCCCCTGACTCCAGGGCCTGTAACTTTTCTTGAAGATGTGCGTCTGTCCTGGCTGGGCCCCCACGGACACTATAGACCGTGCTTGCCGAGTCGGCAGTTGAGGACTGGCTGGTGTAGAACGAGCGGGCCCGAGGTTCATCCCCGATGGAGTCAGTGTTCGTGTCCGATGAGTTGGTATACACAGGGCGATGGTTCCTGTAGCGGGTCATCTCAGCGTGAAATTGGCCCTGTACACTTTCCATTGAGATACTGGACGTGGACTTTGCGAGTGTTATGTGTGAAGTCTTCTCGCACAGTGAATTATTAGTCTCTGATTTAACCAGGCCCTGTGCCCCCACACCATATGAGGTGTCTGTTGAGGACACAACTGGTTTATTAGCTGACAAAATAGGCTTCACTTTCAAAGCGGTTTCCTCATTTAATAAATCGACCCTGTTGGTCATTTTCTCATCGGTGTTGCACTGCTCTTCTTCCGTGATGGTTCCTCCAAATGCCGAGTCAGATAGTGACGAAGGTTGCTTCATTCTTGTCATAGTACAGGGCTTGGAATAGGAAGCAGGACACATGGTGGCCGAGGACATGGTCTTGGCCACGGTCGTTCCAGATTTCAGGTCAATCTCATTCAACAGCTGCAAGACTTGCTGTTTGACAGTGGCGGACTGGACAAGATCTGTCATCTTTCTTTTATCTTCGTTGAGGACATCTTCTAGTTGACGTGTGGATATTTTGTAGGTCATGGCCACTTTGGGGCTGAGATGGGCTTCAACCAGCCAGTACGGGGTGCTGGGCGTGCTCAACCGTTTACTGACCTTGACCTTGAGTGGCACAAACAGCTTCTTGATGAGGTCCTCACCATCTTTGGCCAGCGACCCACCAGATCCCTCTTCCTGACTAGTGTGGTCATTGGAGGAGTTAGATGAGGCAACCGACGAGACACCTTTCATTTTCTTGGTGGACGAATCAGACTCTTTCATCGAGCTGCCAACTTCCTCGTTGCTGCGATCGTCACTCGGGGTGAGGTCGCTGGATACCTTGGAGCAGTTTGACTGGGCATCTATTTCAGCCTTCTGCCCGCCACCCTCATCACCGCTCAGCGACCCATATTTGGGACTGGCGCCTCTCTTGATCAGGGGAGAGTTCCCGGCTGTTTGAGAATTCCTGATGAAGACAGTTTCCATGGCAACGTCTCCATGCTCTTCACCAACCTGCTGTAATAATAACAGAAAAAGTGAACAAATAAATTTGTTTGTTATAACATACGAATGATCCAGTGGAACTTATTTCACATAAATTTAGGAATTATTCACGCCGCCTTATTGTTTTATTTTTTTTAACACAATGTGGCTGGTGATTTTGTGGCTGGTGATTGCAAGTCAGATGAAATAACTTTAAAACATTTTTAAAATGTACTAAAAAATCATAGCCATTGGGAACCAGGGGATGCTTAAATTATTGTAATATTATAGTTTGTCTTTCATATTTATTCAGGTAAGAAAGATGGTCCTAGTGGACTAGCACAAGAGTAGTCCCACTCCTACAGAAACCCAAATAGATTTCAGCTTTATTAACTGGCAAGTGTTTGTCTCTCACAAATTTTTTTCATATAACCGCTTACCCCAAAAATAATATATAATATATGCCACTTAAAAGGGAAAATTTTATTAGTTTCTCAACATCAACATTTCTATAATTATCATTACCAATTAAGGGTAAATTTCGTCCTTACCTTACTGCCCGTCAAATCTGCACCGACCTCTTGTTTCACAACGTTCTCCCCACCGTTGATCTCTGCTCGGGTGGGGGGCGACTTCTCGTCCTCTGAATGGCTGTTGACTGGCGTGTCGTAGCTTTCATCATCATTTTCACTGGCTCCGAGGTTCCAGACGTCCTCGGCGGTGCCTCCATTTCCACAGACTCCCCCACCTTCGACAACATGAGAGCTGCTCTGGGTTAGATCTATTTCTTCAGTTTTTTCATCGTCTATATCAAACGGGTCTAAGCTTTCATCTCCAGGAAAGAAGAGGTAGTCAGCTTCTTCATCCTAGCGATGACATGAAATTAGGACAATCTTAAAAAAACACCAGAGCAACAAGTTAGACAGATGAAGAAAACCAGCTTTTCTTAAATTTATTTACAAGACTGGGACTATTTGTTTCCTTAAGCAGATGAATAAACCACAGCTTCTCTCATATTTATATACACCCCTGGAGCTATTTGCTGTTAGCGGGACCAAAGTACATCACTATTTACTGCTTCAACAAAAGTTGTTTATGATTATTGTATATCATAAATGATTATCCAACTGGTTAGTTCATCTTTTTTTTTTTAAATTACTCGAATTAAGAAATACTTCCCATAAACTAATCAAATTTATCAATTACAACTTTCACTATAGCAACAAAATTTTAACTAATTTACCCTCAAACCTGAATCTCCTAAAAGGGATTTTAATTTACCCTCCATAAAAATTGACAATTTAAAAAGAAATTTTAACTTAATGCAAATAAAAAAATTTAAAGTCTTGTTCACTTTTATTAGATAGACTGTATAAATCACGGGTGGGCAACTTACGGTCCGCAGGCCACATAGTTAAATCAAGCCCACAAGCTCTTCTGGGAACTGGATTAATGTTTTCGTTAAATGGACAAATTTTAAATAATTATCTGTAAACACCTTTGAGAATTAATGATCAGTTTAAAACTGTCAAACTGTAACAATGATAATCACAGCTAATTTAACAATTATTCCACAGCTTATTTTCTAAATGAACTTGGTGTGAGTTTACTCAGATCACTTCAAACGACATACATTAATGTTCTAGAACTGTACTAGAAATGTGGCCAACCAAAATAACAATTTCCATGCCCCCCCCCCCCTCCCCGGCACAAAAAAAGGTTGTCTACTCCCTAATATAAATGACCACTCTGAATCCTGTAGCACATCTTTACAATTAACAATATAATGAAAATGAGAAATTGATCTTTTTTTATTTTTATTTTAATCCTATGAATTAATAAGCTACAATACCATTGGGTCCTCATGGTCAGGTAGACCTATGTCCTCCAGGAGCTGTTCCAGACTGACCAGTGCCATGTCATTCTGCTGGTTCTTCTTCAAGAACTTCTCATCCATCTTCAGGACTGAGAAAGATTTCTTCAAAGGCATCTGGTATCTGTTCAAAGATTGCCCTTGACATGTAAGCTACATAATCTTTTTCACTAGTTAAATATTAGAAATTTCAATCTGGAGCATTGATGTAGGAGGTGGAACAATGCAGCAATAACATTTACTGTAAAAGGGAGTCATTCATACGCTCATGCATCACACTGTCCAGTCCAAGGCACCTCAGACCTACCTCATTTTGGTATCTGAGTTCCACTTGACCCCTCTTAACCAAGGGGGTTCCAGGGATCTCTTGTTCTGTTTTGTACCAGGGGCAATCCCTGAACTGGCCTTGTTGTCAGAATCCTGAAATATATAAATTATCATTACGTTATCCCAATAGCTTTATGTGCACATACAAGATTAGATAACATTACCTCATAAAGTGATTCTCAAACTATTCAGTGAGATGGTCAGACAGGAATAGTCCACATGGAATCAAGGACCAGTGCCCAATTTCCTTTACATTTTAAAAATAATTTTCTTAAATTATAATTAATCATTTGCCAACAAGGTCTGAGGTTTTCAGAACCTGTGCTAGTCCACTGACCACGACTTAGAAAAGCAATGATCTGATTCACTATTTAACTACACTTGTGCTAGTCCACTGACCACAACTTAGAGAAGCAATGATCTGATCCACTATTTAACTACACTTGTGCTACTCCACTGACCACAACATAGAGAAGCAATGATCTGATCCACTATTTAATTACACTTGTGCTAATCCACTGACCATGACTTAGAGTACCAATGATCTGGTCAACAATGTAACTGCACCTGTTCTAGTCTACTGACCATGACTTAGCCAGATAACACCACCAGACAATTTCTAACATGGAATCCTCAGGGAATAAGAAAGAGAGGAAGGCCTAAGAACACATGGAGATGCCAGCTAGAGGCAGACACACAAAATATGGGATACACCTGGAAGCAATGTGAAAGGAAAGCACAGGACCGTGATGAGTGGAAAATTCTTGTGGGCGGCCTATGCCCCAGACTGGGAAAAAAGGCATAAGCAAGAGTGACACTGTGCATCTTTTTTCAAATCCTTCAAATTTGTAAAGCAATTTAGAATACAATTTTTACTTAAGTTGTTCTATCATATAGGCTAAAATGACAAGGCTGTAAGAAGAAAAAACTATGAAATGATTATATGAAGGAAACAAAAGACACATCCCACAAAGACATCAAATAGCCACATTTAAAATTTGTGATTAGAAGCTAAGATAAAGTGTATTTTATTAGTGTTGTGACGGGGAGGTGAAAATATTGTTCTTACCTCAAAGGTAAAGCTGTCATCCTCCAACAAATACATGATGGATGAGGTAGTGTCATCCATGGATGATGACGGGTTGTCAGAGTCTTGATGCTTTTTATCAAATCTGTCCATCTTGATTTTCTTGGCAGGCTGAAAGAGACAAAGGTATCTAATCTTATGATGTTCTTTTTATCCAATCTGTCCATCTTGATTTTCTTGGCAGGCTGAAAGAGACAAAGGTATCTAATCTTATGATGTTCTTTTTATCCAATCTGTCCATCTTGATTTTCTTGGCAGGCTGAAAGAGACCAGATTTATCTCATTTTTTAATGTTCTTTACAAGTATTTACAGCTCACAAGTCTAAATCAGAGCATTTTTGTTGTCCTCAGGTCTCACAGTGCCGACACTGCATGTATTGTGTCTGGTGCATAATACAGCTGTGTGTTGTATCTAATGGATAATAGAGCATTGTGGCACTGAACCTAATGGCTTATTTAGCACTATGGTACTGTGCCTGGTGAACTTAAATAGCTTATACATCACTATGGTACTGTGCCTGGTGAACTTAAATAGCTTATTCATCACTTTGGTACTGTACCTGGTGAACTTAAACAGCTTATTCATCACTATGGTACTGTGCCTGGTGAACTTAAATAGCTTATTCATCACTATGGTACTGTGCCTGGTGAACTTAAATAGCTTATTCATTACTGTGGTACTGTGCCTGGTGAACTTAAATAGCTTATTCATCACTATGGTACTGTGCCTGGTGAACTTAAATAGCTTATACATCACTATGGTACTGTGCCTGGTGAACTTAAATAGCTTATTCATCACTAGGGTACTGTGCCTGGTGAACTTAAATAGCTTATTCATCACTATGGTACTGTGCCTGGTGAACTTAAATAGCTTATTCATCACTATGGTACTGTGCCTGGTGAACTTAAATAGCTTATTCATCACTATAGTAATGTGCCTGGTGAACTTAATAGCTTATACATCACTATGGTACTGTGCCTGGTGAACTTAAATAGCTTATTCATCACTATGGTACTGTGCCTGGTGAACTTAAATAGCGTATACATCACTATGGTACTGTGCCTGGTGAACTTAAATAGCTTAATCATCACTATGGTACTGTGCCTGGTGAATTTAAATAGCTTATTCATCACTATGGTACTGTGCCTGGTGAACTTCAATAGCTTATTCATCACTATGGTACTGTGCCTGGTGAACTTAAATAGCTTATTCATCACTATGGTACTGTGCCTGGTGAACTTAAATAGCTTATACATCACTATGGTACTGTGCCTGGTGAACTTAAATAGCTTATTCATCACTATGGTACTGTGCCTGGTGAACTTAAATAGCTTATTCATCACTATGGTACTGTGCCTGGTGAACTTAAATAGCTTATTCATCACTATGGTACTGTGCCTGGTGAACTTAAATAGCTTATACATCACTATGGTACTGTGCCTGGTGAACTTAAATAGCTTATTCATCACTATGGTACTGTGCCTGGTGAACTTAAATAGCTTATTCATCACTATGGTACTGTGCCTGGTGAACTTAAATAGCTTATTCATCACTATGGTACTGTGCCTGGTGAACTTAAATAGCTTATTCATCACTGTGGTACTGTGCCTGGTGAACTTAAATAGCTTATACATCACTATGGTACAGTGCCTGGTGAACTTAAATAGCTTATACATCACTATGGTACTGTGCCCGGTGAACTTAAATAGCTTATTCATCACTATTGTGCTGTGCCTGGTGAACTTAAATAGCTTATACATCACTATGGTACTGTGTCTGGTGAACTTAAATAGCTTATTCATCACTATGGTACTGTGCCTGGTGAACTTAAATAGCTTATTCATCACTATGGTACTGTGCCTGGTGAACTTAAATAGCTTATTCATCACTATGGTACTGTGCCCGGTGAACTTAAATAGCTTATTCATCACTATGGTACTGTGCCCGGTGAACTTAAATAGCTTATTCATCACTATGGTACTGTGCCTGGTGAACTTAAATAGCTTATACATCACTATGGCACTGTGCCTGGTGAACTTAAATAGCTTATTCGTCACTATGGTACTGTGCCTGGTGAACTTAAATAGCTTATACATCACTATGGTACTGTGCCTGGTGAACTTAAATAGCTTATTCATCACTGTGGTACTGTGCCTGGTGAACTTAAATAGCTTATACATCACTATGGTACAGTGCCTGGTGAACTTAAATAGCTTATACATCACTATGGCACTGTGCCTGGTGAACTTAAATAGCTTATTCGTCACTATGGTACTGTGCCTGGTGAACTTAAATAGCTTATTCGTCACTATGGTACTGTGCCTGGTGAACTTAAATAGCTTATACATCACTATGGTACTGTGCCTGTTGCAGTTAATGGGTCTGTATATATCATTAAATGATGAAGACTGCCACAAATGCATTTCTAAACACAGTATTCACCGAGGCCATCTTAAAATGTATTCCCCAAAATCCAATCATAACAAAAAAATATCAAACTGGTATCTTTGATACTGGCTTATCAACTTCTGCAGGGAGTCAACTTTAGATTACAGTAATGGAATCAAGACAAAAAAATTATTTACCTTGCCAAGATGTCCATCATTATGGGCGATAGGTCCCTTCGACATCATGATCCCAACATTCTTTCCTTTTATAAATGCCCCCTGATGTGTGGGTAAGGCCTGCACCTGCACAGGCTGGTGGAGGGGTCGATAGTGTCCTGCCATCACCTGAGGCATCAGGGTGTAGCCTAAATAAAAGTGGACAATAAAAAATGAAGGTTCAGCTTTTACTATCTACATCCCCAGTCTTTGGTGTCAGTTAATTGCATCAAAATAAGAGTTAAATAAATGTAGACTTTCAATCTTTTCAAATGTGCTCAATTCCTGAATCCTGTGACATGTAAACACAAGGGTAAATATTCTTCACCCAAAACAGCCTAGACTTTGCCTGCGATATTGCACTACACTTATTTCCCACAACCAGCAACAAAGGCAGGAAAAGGCAAAAGGTGTAGACACCATTTAAGCACAGCTTGAGCTCAAAATAAATACAAGGAATACAAAGATCATGAAGGTAAACTCAGCCAACCAAGAGCATATCTCTCTGGCAGGAAATGCACTGGAAGAAGTGAAAACCTTCCCATACTTAGGCAGCACCATTGATATAAATGGTGGATACAAAGCTGATGTCAGGGCAAGATTTGGAAAGGGGAGGTCAGCATTTGGGCTATTTAAAAAAATGTGGGAGTCCAAAGAGCTGACTCTGCAAACAAAAGTCAGAATCTTCAACACAAATGTCAAAACATTCTTTCCCATGGAGCTGAAACTTGAATAACAACAGCGAGCATCATGCAGAAAGTACAGACCTTCATTAAGACTTGCCTTAGAAAGAACCTGAACACTGTCACCAAAGACTTACTGTAAAGGCCATGCCAGGAGCCTATCGCTGAAGATATCAAAAGGAAAAGATGGCGGTGGATAGAGCACAGTCTTCGTAAACCCCCAGATAATATCACCGGACAATCCCTAACATGGAATCCACAGGGAAAAAGAGGCCTAAGAATACATAGAGACGCGAGCTTGAGGCAGACACACAAATTATGGGATACACATAGAAGCAACTGTAAAGGAAAGCACATGACTGAGATGAATGGAAAGTTCTTGTAGACTGCCTATGACCCAGACAGGGTAAAAGACATAAGTAAGTAAAAAGCTTTTCAATCTTTTGAGAAGCTTCATTGATTTCTGGATGCCAAATAAATTAATACAGCTTTTTTTTTATATTTATAGTGTACAAACTCAAATGATTTTTTTTACATTTTAAAAAAAATATTATCGGAAACAGCAATAATCTAATCCAATAATACTGGACAACCCCTAAAATCTTGGACACCCCCTAAAATCTTGGACATGCCCTGAAGTCGAAATTGTATTCTGAGAGAAAAAAAATGAGAACATGAGCTTACAATAGGATGTGACCAAAGAGAGAAAGAGACAGACTAAAGCATGTAAATAGCACAACATTCTGCTACAAACAACAATTGTTTACTATTTCTCTCAAATTTTACAGATGGAAAATATTTTTATCTGTGCCAACTAAAGCAAATTGATGTGTTGTGAATTTTAGCTGTCTTTTGGGTTGTTTTTTTTTTCAACCAGTTTTTGTATGTGTGTGTGTGTGTGTGTGTGTGTGTGTGTGATGATGGTATAGACAGCTGTACATTCCGATCCTTATGTTTCCAAATATTTTTCAAATTTGCGTCCGTCTCAAGTCAAAATTGGTAATGATCTTCATATTATAAATGCAAAACTAGAATGTAAAGAACATGTTTAGAAAAATTCCATGTACATTATGTGTTAAGAGATATAGAAAGAGCCGCAAAACAGACTGTATCACAAAAATAAAGCCATTCGCATTGGTGTTCTGTCCAAACTATAGAATAAATGGTTATAGTTTCAAAATCCCATCTCTAGGATATACAGCTTTACTCTTTTTACCCAGTTTAAAAACTTGATTGACTTAGTGCGACAGTTTAAAAACTTGATGCTTATGTGCAACAGTTTAAAAATCTTGAAGGACAGACCCCAATGAAATGGTTTTTGAAAGAAGTATGCAGCATTTACCGGTCTGTGGGTAGTTTGGCCACTGTATATTCCCACCGGTGAGGCTGGCTCGAATGTCATAGTGACCCATATTTTGGATCATTTGACCCAGGCCGGTGGGGATGTATGACAGAGGGGCTGAGTCGCCAGGTACAAGATGAATAGTTGGTTGAGGTGGTATTGCCAGGCTGCCCTGTGAACCTGCCAGGGGTATAAACAGGATTGCCTGATTATTTTGGTGGCTGATGGTGTGTGTGAACCAGGGTGGTAATGAAACAAAAACGGGAAAGGCAACAGTAACTGGGTCAACACCAGATAGTGGGGTAAAGACAGTGCCAGATTGATGAATAAGCTAAATAAGCTATAGCTTAGGACCTAACAATCTGCAGGGGCCTCAAAAAAATCCTATTAAGTATCTTTTCCTATTTTTTCTTTTTTTATATTTTTTAAAACTTATTTTTGCCGCAATGAATCTTAAAATAAAAATTGAAGCAAGTTAAACTTCTATCATTACATTGGCTAGAAGCAAGCCTGCCTTACGTAAATTTTAGCAATAGGGGCCATTTGTAAGCCTGAAAGTCACATTTATGAGACTGAAAAGGTAGCTACAGGATTAGAAGCTGGTACTCTTCTGGAGAAAAATGGAGTAACAGATGGAGTTTGTTTTTATGTTACATTTAGTTTCACTAAATCAGTCTTTCCAGGATCCAAAGATTGCATTTTTTCTACATGTGCATATTTGTACAAATCACTTTAACTCTATGTTAACTCTATGTTAAATATATTCAAGAAAATGTTGATGAATTTGAAGAAAAAGTTAAATCTAAAGATTGTTTGGTGTAGAACATAAGATATTGAAGAAGAATTTAAATCTAGATTGCCTGATGTAGAATATGAGTCTACATAGAAAAGAAAAAGGGTGAGAAGAAAACAAGCAAAGGATGGAGCTGCAGCTGATGCAGATTAACACCTTTCTCCAAGAGACAATTTCCCGTGAATTTCTTCATTTATATCATTTACATCTTTGAGGCAAATTTAAAGAGAAGAGCAACAGTCTACAATTATGTTGCAAATAAATTTTCATTTTGTAACTGATTTAGAAGTTTCTGCAGTACAGTTAAAGCAAGCAGTAGATACCCTAAAAAAAGTGCATCCCCACTTTGATATTAATCTCATGAGTGAACTCAGGCAATTCCAATCATCCTTAAAAAGAAAACTTGCAAAAAAAAGATTTGTATCAAATCATCTTTCTAGACAAGATGAGTTAGCTTTCTCAAAGTGCAATCAATATTACAAATACTCCTGTTATTTGATTGGTTTCATTCATTAGATTCTTTACAGCTTCATATGCTGTATTAACACCTACATGAACACAAGTCCTTTTCCATTAGTAATGTAAATTTAATCCATAAATATATCTAGCAGGCTGTGCATTTAATCAAAGGCATGTATAGCGCAGCTCACTATAAGGAGGTGAATATACACAACCATCCCTTACAAGACAGTCTAGACCAGGGGTCACCACACTTTTTTCACAGTGCGAGTAGTTATATTATTCATTTTAAATGCTGTATATTTATTTATTTACTATTAAGACACCTGTTGTACGATTTTAGGACCTCGAGGGTTAACAGGTCTGTGATAAACAAGAAAATCTAGATGCCATAATTTAAAATAGAAAATGGTACATTTAAGACGCAAAGAAGCCAGTAGAGACCTCCTAGTATTATCAACATAATATTGAAATTTAAATTGTATCACAAAGTCTCGTGTTCCATACATTTTATCAAGCAAGTGTGTTCAAGTACCGTCGGCGGGCCATAGTTTGGTGACCCCTGGTCTAGACAAGTACATCGTGATTACCATAATCATACAAATATACCTCACCAAGTAAATGGCAGCAAGGGCATTCATTAACTACCAACTAACTCTCTCAAAACACACCCCACACAATAAAAACACATTATCGGGTGCAAACATTTATTAGTGAACTCCCATACTCCACACCTGTGTTTAATGGTAACACATTGCTCAGGAGAAAGATCATTTTCAGAGGTACAGAGAATACAAAATGATCTGAGAGCAACTATGACTCAAGAAAAATTGTCTGCACTTAGGATCGTGTGCCGAGTTACATAGCACACCTTTGGGAAATCAAGTAAAAAAATGTTTCAAGTTGTAAATTAGAGCCTTTTAGAGGATTATAGAATAGAAGTATTTCTGAGACGTTGTAGACAAATTATTTATTATTTTTTAAATAAAAATTAAAACATTTATTTCTACATGTTTAAAAGGCTGTATATTTTAAATTTTTCTTTGACCAGCTGATGTAATTTAAAACCGTAAGGGGCCTCTGGACTTTGTTTTGCTTAGGACCTCATAAAAAGACTAAGTCTGGCCCTGTGTACAGAAAAAAAGCATATATTTTTTTATCAAACCGAGTCCAGGGCATTTTAACCAAAAAGTTTTTGTGTGTATATGAATGCAGTAAAACGGTAAAAGCTAGAAGGTAATCAGAAGGGATGAGAATGAAAACAAACAGATTTCTTCATGCCAAGCACCAGAGAAATAATAGTAACATGAAGGTAAAGTAATGTGCAAGAAAAGTAGGCCCGGGGGGGGGGGGTATGGTAGGGCATTAAGTTTTAAATGAATAAGGCATTCCTCTTAAACATGTTCAATCAGGTGTGGATTGTAGAAAAAAGGGATGAGAATGAAAACAAACAGATTTCTTCATGCCAAGCACCAGAGAAATAATAGTAACATGAAGGTAAAGTAATGTGCAAGAAAAGTAGGCCCGGGGGGGGGGGGTATGGTATGGCATTAAGTTTTCAATGAATAAGGCATTCCTCTCAAACATGTTCACTCAGGTGTGGATTGTAGAAACAATAACTTATCAGGTAGAGGATGGTTATTTATAAAAAAAATAGTTTATTCTAAACTGCTTCTTTCTCATTTTGTCAAAATCTATTTTTTTCTTCAATGACTGCCAGGCTGCGCTCTTGGCGACCACCGCGAAAATATGGCAACCCAGTGAAGATTAGTATTTTTGACAGGTGAAGTTTAACCTAATGATTAAGAAGTAACACTTAAATAAAGAACGGTACAACATAATTGGAGTAAAAAATTAAAAAGCTTCTACTTAAACTATAGATGGTGAACTCAAAACAAGCAGCCCAACGGGCATAAATTAATTGAAATGAAGCAAAACAAAGAACCAACCACTGAAACAATCTCAACTTATACAACACAGGCTCTTCTCAACTAAAAGTACTATACACATACAAAAAAAAAAAAAGATATCCAAAACCATCACACATTAACTATTTAAGAGAACAAATACAACTATTTTTAAAGCAAGATAATAAAAACATATGTCTCAAATGTATTATCATTGGTCTAAGATTGATGGAAATGAATTAATTTTTTTATAGTGGATAATTTTGCGATATATTAATTTTTAAAATAAATGTGATTGTGACCAAGAGATTTTGATACACTTCAGATGAAAAATGAACCAAAGAATGATCTTCACAGAAATCAAAATAAACTTTAAAACTCCGATCCTCTTGTTTTGATTGTTTTAAGTAAAAGCTTCATTTGTGGTATTTCTCTGAACACTTCAATGTTTTTAAATATTGTGCATAAATCCTTGGGAAGACATAAATAAACATATGACGAATGTATAATTTTACTTGTTTAAATCTGTTCAATGGCTATAATTATTGAATGCAACTTTACATGCTGTCCATTTGTGTGCATTTTCTTTGAAGGAAAAAATGCAGCTTTTAAAGAGAAAAAAGAAGTTCAAAAGACAGTAAAGATGTAACAACTGACCAGTCTGATAGCCTGACTGGAACGGCTGAAATCCAATCTGTGGGCTCTGACCCAAGAACCTGCTGTCGTAGGGGGCCACCATTTCTGATTGGCGATACAAAGGCTGAGATGTGGGGGTCACTGAGGTCAGCTCACAAGAGCTCACGGCGGGGAAACTCTGCATGAAGATGTTGGAGCTGAAAGAGATAGGTAAACTGCATGTAAGAGATTAAAAAGCATGTAAGAGATTAAAAAGCACATAGAGATTAGAGGCTCGAAACGTATCTATCTCGATATTCGGGGTAATACTGTAATGCCTCACAGGCTGGTCCACTGCTCCAGCATTAAACAGAAACTCCCCCCCCCCCACCCCACTGACAGCGATAAGGCCATGACAGGCAGTTCCGGATCATAAAAACAAGAACTCAGTACAGACGAAACGTATCTATCTCGATATTCGGGGTAATACTGTAATGCCTCACAGGCTGGTCCACTGCGCCAGCATTAAACAGAAACGCCCCCCCCCCCACCCCACTGACAGCGATAAGGCCATGACAGGCAGTTCCGGATCATAAAAACAAGAACTCAGTACAGGAGCTCCTCATTCTTGCCAAAGACAATAAGGGACTGGAACAAGCTTCCAAAAGCAACAGCTGAGGCGACTACACTTGACAAATTTGCGTCTATTGCCTCCTGTCTTCCAACCCCAGTTTATAATACCATCGCTGAGTAGCCCTGGCAACCAGTGAAGTATCCCCATCAAAACCTTGCACAGTAACATCGTGAACCCCTCTGAAACACAGGAGCCATAATGATCAATACATTGATCGTGGGCCCTCAAAATATAAAAGAAAAAGGATAAGAAGAAGAAGATTAACAGTATTCTCATTAAGTAATGCCTCGCAGCCCTCTATTCACTAAGCACTATTCTCTTATAATTGTCAGTACACTGGTTTTCCCCTAGCTATTGTCCAAATAATTTAATCGCACTCTTCTAAGATAAGCACTATTCTCTTATAATTGTCAGTACACTGGTTTTCCCCTAGCTATTGTCCAAATAATTTGATTGCAGTCCTCTAAGATAAGCACTATTCTCTTATAATTGTCAGTACACTGGTTTTCCCCTAGCTATTGTCCAAATAATTTAATCGCACTCTTCTAAGATAAGCACTATTCTCTTATAATTGTCAGTACACTGGTTTTCCCCTAGCTATTGTCCAAATAATTTGATGTAGCAAAACAGAAATTGACATGTAAATTTTCAGTCAGAAATATGAATCAAATGCAAGTGACACAACTGCCTCACAGTATACTGTAAATTACTTTAATAGAGCCAAGTTATTGCCTATTATTGCTATGTTACAAGATGTTACTATGGTTGCTATGCAAACATCATATTCCAGAATTTTTGTTTTAAATTCAAATCCTTATGTGGTTCAATGTCATGTTCAAATATATTGGTTTTTAAGCTATTTCAAGACTATTGGCGTAATATATTAATAACTCAGATTATGAAACATTTAAGGATATACCACCATGCCGGCTGGATGTCAAAGCTGTGTTCTATGTGCCTACCACCATGCCGGCTGGATGTCAAAGCTGTGTTCTATGTGCCCATCACCATGCCGGCTGGATGTCAAAGCTGTGTTCTATGTGCCTACCACCATGCCGGCTGGATGTCAAAGCTGCGTTCTATGTGCCTACCACCATGCCGGCTGGATGTCAAAGCTGCGTTCTATTTGCCTACCACCATGCCAGTTAAGCACATGTTTGAAACCAGTTTCCACTGACACACAAGAGAAGAAGGCTTGTCTTGATTGAATGTTAAGCCATTTTCTCTGACAGAGTAGACCTTGAAACAAAGTGAGCAATGGCACCACGTTTCATAAGAAGTTGATCCAGAAATGTGACATGCTGGCATAAGAAGTTGATCCAGCAACATGACATACTGACATAAGAAGTTGATCCAGCAACATGACATACAGGCATAAGAAGTTGATCTAGCAACACGACATACTGGCATATTCAATTTCTACCATCAAAATTTTGCTAAGAGAAGTTTAAGCCAATTTATTGCATACTGACCTTGACCTGAACACTCCACTGTTGGTGCAAGGGTGCTTGGCCACTTCCACCTCCTCTCCAACTTCCCTCGGTCTGGGACGTTTCTGAAGTGAGGTATTCTTGGAACTCTGTAGAAAAATGAGCAGTTCAACAGATTAGAATATTACGTGCGGCATTATTGTGACAAGAGTTGGTGAGGCAAGAAAAAGTGTTTGAATTGACAAGCTTTGAGGTCGGGTGGTAAGAGGTATGGGGTAAGTTGTGTGAGGGATAATAAGTATGTGGGGTAGGAGGAGTAGGGGGGAAAAATGCACATGGACCTGGAATCCAACCCTGTCTCAAACAAGTTGAAAGTATTTTATCAACCAACTACAAATGTCAATAAATTAGTAATCAAACTATGCTGCATAATGCCATTCTTTTAATGAGATGATTTGATTCTGAATCTGTTGAAGGGAAACCAACTTTTCTAAATTCAGAATAAAAAACGGACTTCAAAAATTTCAATACAATTACTAATGTTATAAACTGGTCAAGTTTGTTCTTCTCTGTTGATGGAGCATTGAGGTCAACCAGACTCTGCACCAATAGATTACAGGTTATTTTCAACAGAAATTTGAGTGAGAAATCCTAACAACAAAATTATTTGAAAAGATCACAAATGATATCACTTGGCAAAGATCAGGAAACACATATAAGGAAATTAGGAAATGAGATGGACTGGCCATATTCTGAAGAAATCAAATTAAACTATTCTTAGACAGTCCCTGTCATGGAATCAACGGGGCATCGACAGAGAAAAACCAATGAACTTGTGGAGAGTGAGAGAAGCAGCAAGAAATGGAATGAGCTGTAAATAAAAACACAGAGCGGAGAAAAGTTGCAAACCGTTGAAATCATTTGAAAAATGCAGCAAAGAAAGAATATTTTGCAAAGCAGATGTTGTAGCAAATGCCTGCATTAAAACTTCTCTCCTTTGGAAAGCATTCAAAACTAGGTTTTAAAACTACAATAAGAACAGTTTGCCAACAAAAGGACTGTGCTTGGGTGGGATAAGTTACCTTTACGTGTTTTGAACATTCTTGCACCGTTTGGTTGAGCAAGCGGTAAGTATTTTCTACCTTTAGCCGTCGCATGTTCAACAGAGGCGGCTGCTCCTCTGAGATCGTTTGGAGGTACAGTCTCTCCTGGAGGCGAGTGTGCTTTTTGAGGGCCTCTTCCGTCAACAGGTGGATGTTGTCGCCACAGTCTCGAGGGGGCATGGCCTCGTCTCCAAAGGTTGGGGGACTCAGCATCTCCTCACCGTGGCCTATTTCCGAAACATGAACCTAAAAGTAAACGAGGGCATTTATATTCATTTGGCATTTATATTCATTTGGAATTTACATTCATTTGGCTTTTATATTCATTGGGCATTCACATTCATTGGATATATCATTTTTATGTGTAAATTATTAATCAACATATCAAAAATGGAAAAAAGCCATGGACTAGCATTTTATAAAAATAAATATTAAAAAAGTTAAGGGCTAATAAATTTTAACAAAACAAGCCACGCTTTAAGTGTTAACTTACTTGAGTACAGTTTTGGTTTCCCACTTACCTGAATACAGTTTAAGGTGTCTATTGTGACTACAGCTTTGATTTTCAACTTACCTGAATACTTACCTGAATACAGTTTAAGGTGTCTACTTTTTGTGACTACAGATTTTGTTTTCAACTTACCTGAGTAGAGCTGCCACAGCTTGGGGGTTTTACAACAGGGATCTCCAGTGGCATCTCTTCTTCATCATTGATAGCTTCTGGAAATGACATCAAAAAAAATATTACACCCAGAAAATAGATTAAGACATTTGTTGCAGTGATACATGAGATCTAAAAGAAGATATTTACAGAGAAGTGTTGCAGTGATACATGAGATCTAAGGGAAGACATTTACAGAGATGTTGCAGTGATACATGAGATCTAAAAGAAGATATTTACAGAGAAGTGTTGCAGTGATACATGAGATCTAAAAGAAGATATTTACAGAGAAGTGTTGCAGTGATACATGAGATCTAAAAGAAGATATTTACAGAGAAGTGTTGCAGTGATACATGAGATCTAAAAGAAGATATTTACAGAGAAGTGTTGCAGTGATACATGAGATCTAAAAGAAGATATTTACAGAGAAGTGTTGCAGTGATACATGAGATCTAAAAGAAGATATTTACAGAGAAGTGTTGCAGTGATACATGAGATCTAAAAGAAGATATTTACATAGAGATGTTACGATACAAACACATTTAATTTTGTTGTTTTTTTCCTTTTGCCATTTTCCCTACTTTAAAAGTATTACAAACATGGGCCTTGCTCTATAGCAGGGGTCTCCAAACTTTTCAGCCCGAGGGCCGCATTAACTATCATAAAGCAGTTCGGGGTCCGACTACACACTTGAGGTCCAAAAAAAAGAGTCAAAACAAAGGATGTTGTTTTTAATTATTTATGTATTATTATTTCATTCAGTTATTATTTAATAATACATTGATACACGACACATGAACACCTGTATTAGTGGGAATGGTGAGATTGTTTCCTGGATGCCAAAATAGCAGTGATTAGCAGAAATTTATGGATTTAGATTTGATGTCCCTAACATCATCAGTGACCTGAGATTATCATCGGACAAATTTGTTCTCAAATTGTTCTTCACGTATTTCATTCTTGAAAATGTTTGTTCCCACAGGTATGTTGTTCCACAGATAAAAAAGGTACATTGATGCAAGTGTTATGAGCTTAGGGAAGTCTTCCTTGGACAAAAACTAGTTAAAAACCCACCGGTCCTTCTTATAACTTGTCCTTAAGGAGGTCATTTGCTTGCAACTCAATGACCTTCAGGTGCAGTTCATCTGGGCGAGTGGCGACATCTGCTTCAAATGGGTTTTGAAAAGTCTCACTTCTTCTGCCTTTAAATCCAATTTAGAAAACCGCTGGCTGCTGACACTGCAGCTGGGGGTCTTTGATGATCTCGCATAAAAATTACGTGGGGAACTCCACTGTTGCTTCAGCCATGAAGACCTTGCACTGCTGAAAGTGCTTCAAGTTGTTGGCCTGCACTTGATCCAAAAAACAAGACAAATTTGGATCTGAAGGCCTTTTGGTGGGTGCATAGATCACAAACTAGATTTTCCTCTCCTTGTAGTTTTAGGTTCAGAAAATTTCAATGACTAGTTATGTCTGCAGCAAAGACAAATTTCCATACTTACTCTTCATCAGACACTAATGCCTGTGGCTTGCCTTTACTTTCCAGGAAGTCACCTATTTCCTTTCTTAACTTAAATACTCTGCTTAGAACTTTCTCACAACTTAGCCATCTTATTGCTGTGTAATATGGTAAAACTTGCAATTCTGTGTCTGTATCTTTCAACAGGTCTCTGAAATGTCTATGGTTGAGCCAATGTGACCTTATTAAATTAACTCTCTTTACCACAGGATTCAGTATGCTGCTAATGTTCATATATTTAGCATACAAAGCTTTTTAGTGAATAATACAGTGAAGAAACATTGGTTGCAGAATTTTTTCTCATTACACATCTGCATCACTGGTCCAACCAAGCCTTTCTTTAAGCCACTCATGTTCTTTCCTCCATCAACAGTCAGGCAACTGAGGTTAGTCCAGTCCAAGTTATAATCAGAAAATGTTTTTTTCAACTCATTGAATATATCCTCTCCGGTAACTGTGCCATACATGCTATGTAGGGAAGCCAGCTCTTGTGTTATGTTCATGTCTTCATCCACACCTCTAATGAACACAAGCAGTTGAGAGATGGAACAGCTGTCCAGCGATTCCTCCATTGCAATTAAAAATTGGCGAAACTTTCTTGCATTTTTCGCTATTTGAGTCACAATGTTTTCACCCATGTCTGCAACACGGCGGGCAATGCTCCGCCACTAGATCACATTATATCATCTCATTGACTGTGAACGGAAGTAGAAAAACTAAGCAGCGAATATGGTTTTGCCAAGTAATGATCGGTTAGAAAACATAACGCAAGACTGCGCACCTCTATTTTAATTCTGTAAAAAAATAACATCCAGGTAAGTGACGTCTGATCATGGCAGGATACACGTAAATTTCCATAATTTTTTTTTGTAGACAAAAAGGTCTCCGCTGGCCGCATGAGAGGGCCACGCAGGCCGCATCGCGGGCTGTAGTTTGGAGACCCCTGCTCTATAGCAAACATACCATCTTCTAGGTCAACTATTTCAACAGTTTTACAGATATGGGCCTTGCTCTATAGTAAACATACCATCTTCTAGGTCAACTATTTCAACAGTTTTACAGATATGGGCCTTGCTCTATAGTAAACATACCATCTTCTAGGTCAACTATTTCAACAGTTTTACATTGCTTTAAAGTAAACATACCATCTTCTAGGTCAACTATTTCAACAGTTTTACAGATATGGGCCTTGCTCTATAGTAAACATACCATATTCTAGGTCAACTATTTCAACAGTTTTACAGATATGGGCCTTGCTCTATAGTAAACATACCATCTTCTAGGTCAACTATTTCAACAGTTTTACAGATATGGGCCTTGCTCTATAGTAAACATACCATCTTCTAGGTCAACTATTTCAACAGTTTTACAGATATGGGCCTTGCTCTATAGTAAACATACCATCTTCTAGGTCAACTATTTCAACAGTTTTACAGATATGGGCCTTGCTCTATAGTAAACATACCATCTTCTAGGTCAACTATTTCAACAGTTTTACAGATATGGGCCTTGCTCTATAGTAAACATACCATCTTCTAGGTCAACTATTTCAACAGTTTTACATTGCTTTAAAGTAAACATACCATCTTCTAGGTCAACTATTTAAACAGTTTTACAAATATGGGCCTCCCTCTAAAGTAAACATACCATCTTCACTGTCTTCTCTTGTCACTACACTCTCCTCATCAGATACATTGGAGAAAGACTTGGGATGGCTCATCAAAAACCTGTGGAGCAGGCAAACATGTTGAGTGTTAACAATGACAATTGGAGATCCAGCAATGTTCAATGCACCTTGGGAAAGAAATCTCATGACCACTGGATTTTGAGTCAGGTCAAACGCAAGCACAAAGCAAAAAACCACAATGCAAAATACTAATGTTCTTGAAAAGAGCATTTAAATTAACTACAGCTGCTATTTATATAATTTATAGTTTTATTTTATTACATTTAGCATGTCATTTATTATTATCCTGATTTTTTTAAACTCCAGACCATCCATAGTCAACATGAGACATGATAATAATCAATCTTCTGCTGTACGCTTGCTGTACACTAAAATATAACCACCTGATCCAAATGTAAGGAAACCATTTAAATACAGTGAGCAATAATCACAGACACCTTTGGTGGTTGTTTTTAACAATCTCCATGGTGATTGCAATATCCAAAGAACTGGTCAATTAGGAACATTCAAAGAACTGGTCAATCAGGAACATTCAAAGAACTGGTCAATCAGGAACATCCAAAGAACTGGTCAATCAGGAACATCCAAAGACCTGGTCAATCAGGAACATTCAAAGAACTGGTCTATTGGGAACTTTCAAAGAACTGGTCAAGCTGCAAGATCCAAAGTACTGGTCAATGAGGAATATTCAAAGAACTGGTCTATCAGGAACATCCAAAGAACTAGTATATTATATAATGTTACTCCAGAGAAAGACCCAGACAAATGTACATGGTGAGAATGACAGAGTCAAACCAGCCAATAATGCCAAGGTCTTTACTGAACCTTGACCTATTCTGATGCATAATTACTCAATAGCAGGGGTTCCCAACCTGTGAGTGAGCCTTTTAAGTCATTCAATGCAGCATGGGATCCCCAACCAGGGGTCCCCTATACATGAACCGTTCAGCAGTTTTTACAAGTCTTCATTGGGAATTAGTCATCATTTTTGTTTATAGTAAATTTACCTATGCCATGTAGTCCTTATACAGTAGAAAACATGAGAACCACAACACTGGGTGCCTGTTATTGAATGGCACAGGTTGTGATATTAGTTTTTAAGGGGTTGTATGGGCAGGGGGCAACACAGAGGTGGCAAATGACCTTTAGATCTATTACTGTAGTAGTTTGCATTTTCCTGACACAACATGAGTTGTGATTCTATCCACATTTGAAAGTGGCATTGATGCAGCATCCATTCTTTTCATGATTATAAGATTGAAATACACAGGGTTCACATGATTATAAGATTGAAATACATGGGTTCACATGATTATAGGATTGATATACATGGGGTTCACATGATTATAGGATTGATCCACATGGGGTTAACACAATCAGGATCCCTTAAAGTGAAAACAGCTGAGCTTAAAAAAGTCACCCAGTCATATCCTACACCTAACGGCCGACTGCCAAGAAGCATTAAAAGAAAGACGCCATGTGGAGGAGTAGAATGAAAAACTATAAACACTCTGATAGTTATTAAAATAATGGAAGAGCATATGAAGCCAATGCCCAGCACTGGTCCAGGTAGATATTAAAATAATGTCAGAGAATATGGAGCCAATGCCCAGCACTGGTCCAGGTAGATATTAAAATAATGTCAGAGAATATGGAACCAATGCCCAGCATGAAAGTATGAGATACCACTGAAGAATTACTTTAATATGGAATACCTGCAACCCCCCCCCCCCCAATATCACAGTGTAAATAAAAAAAGGCAGTTTAAACAGGTAGATATTAAAATAATGTCAGAGAATATGGAACCAATGCCCAGCATGAAAGTATGAGATACCCCTGAAGAATTACTTTAATATGGAATACCTGCAACCCCCCCCCCCCCCAATATCACAGTGTAAATAAAACAAGGCAGTTTAAGCTCCATGGCTCCACATAGGGTCATTACCCCTAAATGTTAGGCAACACTGCCCTGGTCCACAAGATCACATGCCTCTATTAGAGGTATCATTAAGATGAGGAAAACTGTGGTATGCAGAAAGGTTGACCCAGAGAGATGTTAAAGTTCAACATCAGTCTGCATAGGGGTAGTGACCTTAGCTATGACCTTAGTGTGTGTGTGTGTGTGTGTGTGGTGGACCTGAGGGGGGGGGGTGTCCTTTTAGGCTTTATCAACTATGGAAAAGCTAAGCACCAGTTTTGTTGGTGTCTTAACCATTTTGTCACAAAGTGCACCCCTTCTCCCCCCCCCCCCTTTTCACACATAAACTGTGAATTATTTCTGCTAATCATCTAATAAAACAAAGGAATGTTTTAAATGTGAGACACACATACCACCATTTAGTCACAGGGGGGGGGGTGTCCTTTTAGGCTTTATCAACTTTGGAAAAGCTAAGCACCAGTTTTGTTGGTGTCTTAACCATTTTGTCACAAAGGGCCCCCCTTCTCCCCCCCCCCCCTTTTCACACATAAACTGTGAATTATTTCTGCTAATCATCTAATAAAACAAAGGAATGTTTTAAATGTGAGACACACATACCACCATTTAGTCACAAACTATTTACCCCCATGTAAAAAATGCACTGCAACAGTAAAAACTATGGAGTCCCATAGGTGGTATGATATTGACACAATTCAAATTCCAACTCCTGCAACGTAGAATGCATAAAGAGCACAGTGAGAAACAAACACACACTGCTGGTCATCTACTGCCTCCTGCTCTAGTTCCAGTCGCCTTGACTAAGTCTTGCAATCGGATGAGAGAGTGAGACTGACGTATTGAGCAACTCTCCCTCACTTTAAAACAATATGAAAGACACAATCCCCATGGTATCAGATCTGAGAGACACAATCCCCATGGTATCAGATCTGAGAGACACAATCTCCATGGTCCCAGATATGAAAGACACAATCTCCATGGAATCAGATAAGAAAGACACAATCTCCATGGTCCCAGATATGAAAGACACAATCTCCATGGTATCAGATCTGAGAGACACAATCCCCATGGAATCAGATAAGAAAGACACAATCTCCATGGTCCCAGATATGAAAGACACAATCTCCATGGTATCAGATCTGAAAGACACAATCTCCATGGTATCATATATGAAAGACACAATCTCCATGGTATCAGATATGAAAGACACAATCCCCATGGAATCAGATAAGAAAGACACAATCTCCATGGTCCCAGATATGAAAGACACAATCTCCATGGTATCAGATCTGAAAGACACAATCTCCATGGTATCATATATGAAAGACACAATCTCCATGGTATCAGATATGAAAGACACAATCTCCATGGTATCAGATCTGAAAGACACAATCTCCATGGTATCATATATGAAAGACACAATGCCCATGGTATCAGATCTGAGAGACACAATCCCCATGGAATCAGATAAGAAAGACACAATCTCCATGGTCCCAGATATGAAAGACACAATCTCCATGGTATCATATATGAAAGACACAATCTCCATGGTATCAGATATGAAAGACACAATCTCCATGGTATCAGATCTGAAAGACACAATCTCCATGGTATCATATATGAAAGACACAATGCCCATGGTATCAGATCTGAGAGACACAATCCTCATGGTATCAGATATGAAAGACACAATCTCCATGGTATCAGATATGAAAGACACAATCCCCATGGTATCAGATATGAAAGACACAATCCCCATGGTATCAGATATGAAAGACACAATCTACCATATCATGTGACCCAATCTACCATATCATGTGACCCAATCTACAATCTCATGTATACCAAATCTACAATCTCATGTAAACCAAATCTACCATCTCATGTGACCCAATCTACCATCTTATGTGACCAAATCTACCATCTCTTAATCTAATGTACCATCTCATGTGACCCAATCTACCATCTTATGTGACCAAATCTACCATCTCTTAACCTAATGTACCATCTCATGTGACCCAATCTACCATCTTATGTGACCAAATCTACCATCTCTTAACCTAATGTACCATCTCATGTGACCCAATCTACCATCTCATCTAAACCCAATCAACCTAATGTACCATCTCATGTGACTCAATCTACCATCTCATGTGACCCTATCTACTATCTCTTGTAAACCTAATCTACCATCTCATGTGACCCAATCTGCCATATCATGTGACCCGATCCACCACCTCATGTAAACCACATCTACAATCTCATGTCAACCAAATCAACCATCTCATGTGACCCAATCTACAATCTTATGTGACCCAATCTACAATCTCATGTGACCAAATCTACTATCTTATGTGACCCAATCTACCATCTCATGTGACCCAATCTACCATCTCATGTGACCAAATCTACCATCTCTTGACCTAATGTACCATCTCATGTGACCCAATCTACCATCTTATGTGACCCAATCTACCATCTTATATGACCCAATCTACCATATCATGTGACCCAATCTATCATCTCATGTGACCCAATCTACCATATCATGTGACCCAATCTACAATCTCATGTAAACCCAATCAACCTAATCTACCATCTCATGTGACTCAATCTACCATCTCATGTGACTCAATCTACCATCTCATGTGACTCGATCTGCCATCTCATGTGACCCAATCTACCATCTCATGTGACCCAATCTACCATATCATGTGACCCAATCTACCATCTCATATGACCCAATCTACCATCTCATGTGACCCAATCTACCATCTCATGTGACCCAATCTACCATATCATGTGACCCAATCTACCATCTCATGTGACCCAATCTACCATATCATGTGACCCAATCTACCATATCATGTGACCCAATCTACCATCTCATATGACCCAATCTACCATCTCATATGACCCAATCTACCATCTCATGTGACCCACTCTACTATCTCATGTGACCCTACCTACCATCTCTGGTAAACCCATTCGACCATCTCAGTGTGATCCCACCCACCATCTTAAGTATTCCTGATCACTAAGGCACATATAGTCTAATAAAAAGTTTCTCAAGCCAGACTGACTAGTTGCCCCCCTGTATATAAAGTCCTAAAGACATATTCCCATGAATTAGATGCCTTGCGCAGATCAAGTTGTACCCTTACTTCAATATCTAAATAGACAAAAATTTATAAGACACTTGAAAAATGCCAATTCTGTTACTTAAAAACATTTTCCAAAGACATTTCCTCAAATGTCAATCATGTTGTGACAGTTCTCTAATTTGGCTCTACATCATCATCACAGTTATCAGAAGCACAAATAATATTTCCTGGAATTGTTTTTTAACAATAAGTTGTTCATAACTACTTCAGAAGTAAATTTGATGTTCATTTCTTAATGATTCTCCAACCCACTGATCAAGTTATATGTAACATTACTTTATTGAGCTCCAAATGAAACAAATCTTATGGTTGAATACAAAACTCATTTAGCAGGTTTCCATCAAACTGAAAGTTTTAAATTATATGTGTGGCACCACCTGATTTTTTGCTGGGTATTACCAGCAACTGAGATCACATGAGTAGGTTTACATAACCAGCTAATGTCAGGATTAATTGAGGGTTATTAAACCAGGCAAGAATGTCCTGGCAACTGGCCACAGCCTGTGGTTATGATGATGACATTTGACATACTTCTTCCACGTTAAGGGTTCTTTAACCCTTTTTTTTACCAAGAGCCAACCCATTGGTACAGCTACGGAGTCTATAGTCTGGTACAAAAACAAACCCTTATTGGTATTCTGGTGTGGCCAGCCCATCAAAATACTTGGGTAATGAAAGTTACGCTCATTTTAACCTATTTTTTTAAATATGTAACCAAGTAATTTTGTACATATTTCATGAATGCAAATCAATATACCAATTAGGCCATGTCCTTTATTCTCATGAATTTAATAAGCTAAGTTAATCTACTGAATTAAATAAGCTAATTCAATAATGGTATTCTCAATAAATCTTTTCATTTGAAAGGTCATAAATTAATTTATAATAAATTTAGAAAAATTTGAACCTTAAGTGACGTAAACAAGAGAACTTCATTTTATGAACTGGTGAGTTTTTCAGCCATAAAATGAAATCTCTTAATCATTGTTTGGGGGCCCCCCCAGTTTTGGTTTTATAAACTATGATGAAAATATTGAACAGCTCTTTGAATTTATGCTTAGGGTTCTTGTCAAAAGTCGGAAGATAATTCTGTTTCAAGTTGTTTGTTTCCCCCTGCCACTTCCTACTTTTGGTTTGATTACTTCATTGATCTAAGACACCCGGTGATGCTGCATGTAGAGGGCTGGGCAACCAAGTGAATGATCCTTAATTGATTCTCTGTCAAGAAACACCTTTTTTTTCTTAACCTTTTAATGCTTTAGCGGTTTGTTTATTTATTTATTTATTTATTTATTTATTTATTTTTTGTATCTCATTCTTGAAAGTTATACAAAAAAATATTGCACAACTTAAATTGTTAAACTATAAATTTAACACAAATTTCATGAAAAAAAATATTCAAATTCTTTTTTTTTAATGAGTAAAAAAACCAAGAAAGTCACCCGTCACCTTTTAATTTTGTGTGAATAATTCAACTGGTTGTAGATGGACAAGATGCCCTTTTCATCAAGGACAGCGGATTTACTCTCAGTGGCGGCAGCGGCCTCCCCCTAAACAACAAAAACAGAACAGTGTAAAATGACAAGAGTTCAATCAAATCACTTTTGCCATATAAATGGACATTTATTAATATTTGTATAAAAACACTGACACTGCATGGTACGTGTCATTTTCTCTCTCTCTCCCCCCCCTCTCCACACTCTCTCCCACTCTCTCTCTCCCACTCTCTCTCTCCCACTCTCTCTCTCTCTCTCTCTGTCTCCACCCCTTTACATTATGTGAAGTTCCTTTCCCTTCTTCCTTACAACCTTAATATTTGCTATATTTGACTTGTGGAACCACCTGATGTTAAAGTTTCTTTTTAGTAAACTATTCATGTATGTTTTAAGTCTTTCCCAATCTTTCTTTAATGACCCCCATCTTTCTGAACCATACAAAATTAAAAATTTGACATTCTGATTATTTGTCTAGAGTTCCAAAAATCTGTTGGTAAAGCAAGAACCCATTTGCCTATTGTGTTCTTTCCAGAATATTTGCCTCATCCAACATCTTTGTTAACCTCACCCACACAGTCCTCCTTTCAGAGAAATCTTCAATCTACATCTTATCTAATTTATCCATTTATTTATAATCTTTTACATTTCCTGTTAATCTCATACACTAATCCTTTGATTTCATGAGTCACTTTCGTAGTTGAAAATGTCTGCATTTCCTGTAGTCTACCTATCTATACAAGCTAAGAGTGTTTGTCTTTGTCTTCAACTGTTTTTGCTGAAGAGGTCTTTTTGGCAGAAACGTGCACATTCTGTTATTGTCCTCCAGCAGGGTTTTCGTCTACCCTTTGAGTATTCTTAATTTTTCAACCCTATTTTTCTATAAAAAAACTTTTTTTTTTTTGTTTCAGCTCCCTGTATAACAAACATGTTTAAAGGTCATCTCAAGGACATAAAGTGGAAGATAAAAAATGTTTGCCCATTATTCATTGGTTGAGAGTCACTGCTATATAACATGTTTAATGGTTATCTCAATTACATAAAGTGGAAGATAAAAAAATTGTTTGCCCTCAATTCCTTTTTCATTCCTTATAAAGAATTCATGTTTATCTTAGTCCAGGTTGATGCCACAATTAATCCCCCCCCTCCCCAGGCTAAACTGACCTTTGGTTTGTCTGCTGGTGCAGCTGCTTTGGCTGTTGTGTCAACTTCCCTATTGGCTCCTTGTGCTGTCGTCGACTTCTGTACAACAGCAGCTAAAGATGAGAAGATGTTTTTGATGTATTTAGTTAATTATGGTATAAGAACCAGAACCAAGAAATAAATATATATTACTCCAATCAAGTGTACAAGTCAAGTGTACAAGTCAAGTGTGCAGGTCAAGTGTACAGGTTAAGTGTACAGGTCAAATGTACAAGTAAGTATACAGGTCAAGTTCACAAGTCAGTGCACAAGTCTAGGGTACTAACAGGATTTTTAAAAAAAATTAGTTAAAGTACTACTGAAATCTCACTACAGAGAAGAGAAATGTCTTTTCAAAACAGCCATAGCTTTTTTAAAAATCTGCCAATAAAACAGTAACAGATTTCGTGTATCTCAAGAGGGAATTTTTAGGGGTGTTTTAATTTACAAACAAAACTTACTTGTCTCTTTAACAGTTTGAATGACTGGTGATGGTTCAGCAAAAACTCCCTGGACAGGCTAGAAAGAAGAAAAAATCATCAGGAATGGTTGACATATTGCCCATTTTGTAGTGCATTTCATCTCATAAAGAATATGATGTGTATGAGTGTATCCTTCCTTCAATTTCTGAATGGAAAAACATTTACTGATAACACTAGAGAAAATCCAGTGTTGTTACTCACACAAGTACACACATGGGCAAAAGCGGGGCAATCAACAGAACTGACATAAGTGAAGGGAATAGCTAAAATATAGACGTTTACATGATCAGGGACCAGGGTACCAATAGCCCATTTTAGTGGTGTTGTAAGGCATTGAAATATAGAGATAATTACTGTCACTTTCCATGTCATTACGCACTGAAGTATAAAGATAGTCACTGTCACTTTCCATGTCATTTGATCTACAATGTAGAAACAATATTTAGTTGTTTTGCACTCACTTTATTCAGGACTTCCAAGATATTCTCCTGGATTTTTCTGACTTCAGGCGAGAGTTGAAGCTTTTCTGGTTTGTAAGGGAGATCTTCAAAGAGATCTGGTCTCGACGGCCCTCTGAATGATAATTTGATGACAAATAATATTATAGAAGCATAGCCTATTTTTCTTGGACAACACTTGTAACAATTTTCTTGCAGCATACTAGTCCTAATTCCTACCAGCCACACCTGTGTCTGACCACTGCGGCTTGTGACCATGGGTATTCACATTTTTTTAAAAAAAGAATCAATAACCAGTGTCTGACCACTCACTTCAAGACAGTGTGCTGCCCAATGATAAACTCGAGCCGCTTTGACCAAGGATTGATAAAGCTTGACCACTCAGTCTCCACCTCCACAAAACTTCCGTTCCTCGTCCTCAGGCGAACGGTACCACTCTTAAAGGGCTGACCCATGGAGAGTATAACTGGAAATGACAATTTTTGTTCAAAGATTCCGCTCTGTACATTTAATAAGCGATGTGCTGTACAGCTCTGAATAATTTAATGCTTGAATTGTAAAAGAAGCATGGGGGACAATTCAATGTGCTATTTTTAAAAATATTTAATCATTTTTATTTAGCCTAAAAAATATACTTTAAATCATACATTTGACAAATTATTCCATTTACGTACAACTAGCTCAAGTGTCAGATTATTTATAATCAGATTATTTATTGTGTGTTAAAAGATGATTGCTCATTAAACAAATGATGGGAACAGATATAATTGAGCCACTGAGGTGTTATCATGCCAGGATGTGATCCAGTTGAACCAGAATATTGAATCACTGAGGGGTTATCATGTCAGGATGTGGTTCAATTGAACCCTGACAAATAAACTACTGAGTTGTTACCATGCCAGGATGTGGTCCAGTTGAACCCTGACATTGAACAATTGAGGTATTAATCCTGCTAGGATATGGTCGAATTGAACCCTAACATTGGACCACTAAGGTGTTATCTTGCCAGGATGTGGTCCAGTTGAACCCTAACATTGGACCACTAAGGTGTTATCTTGCCAGGATGTGGTCCAGTTGAACCCTAACATTGGACCACTAAGGTGTTATCTTGCCAGGATGTGGTCCACTACTGTTTTATGTAACCAGGATTAAACAAAATGAAGGTCAATTTTATTTTATTATTTTTTTTTTTTAATTTAATTTTTTTTTTTTTTTTTAACTTTTACAATTATTTCCATCTTTTAGGACAAACTTTGATGCAGTTTTCAAAATAATCCCAGTACTATTTACTTTATGACCACACCACTTGCCAAACTGCAGGTATAAGTCAAGGGCGACCGCATCGCTCTCGACCTACTTAATGAACCTACTTTTCTTATGGATCTCCAAAAGTTGGTGGAAATCTTCAGGATGGTACAGCTCAAAGATTGACATGCCGTTCAAATCTTGGGGCAGGAAGCCCAGGAGGCGTACAGCGCTGTTTTAAAAAATAAAATAAATAATGAAGCCAACAATTATGTCAAAGTTAGCCGACAAAATAAAAAAAATGTAAAATTCTTCACTCTTACTGAATGGTAATGTGTTGATTAGAACAGGTCTGAAAAGTTACAGACCAGCATTCAGGGGTGCAACTGAGGGGCACAGTGACTGACAGGGGGGATGGGGGCACATTTAAATGTTTTGTTTTTTTCTTTGAAGGATAAAATCAGATAAGACCATATTATGTCAATGTTTGCTAACACCTTAACAAAATAAAAATTAAAAGGAAAAAAAAAAACCAACATTGGTTGAGTTCTGACCTTTGCCAGACTGCAAGTTCATATTGTAACCCCACCCCCCACCCCATTCATCTCAATCAGTCTGCCATGTTAAAGTTTGAATTAGGTTGGTGAGGTAACCTCATAATAGAGGTATTTGAGTTTAAAAGATTTTGCCCCTTTGTGATAACCTTCTATGTCTATATCAATTTTGTGATGACTCCATATATTTGGTAAAAGTCCCCTAGGTTTGGTGACAAACCCTCTATTAGGTGACAACTCAAGCAGCATACAGGAAAGACTTACTTTGGATGCACATAAGTGTAGTTGCAGAACAAGGAATGCCTTAGGCTAAACTTCCATTTCTCAGGAGCAAGGTGTCCATCTGCAAATGAAATTAAAATGTTTAGTAAAAATATATTTCATTAGCCAGCATCAATTAAGATTGTTTCAAACATGGCAGCAGACAATGTATGTTACTTGGAATTTTTTTTTTTCAATTTTTTTGTGTATTATACATAACTGAATACTGATCATTAACTTTAATGGTCTGATTATCACCCTTATCATTACAAATTTTAAAAATTTTGTTTTTTTCTTTTCTGTTACCCTCTTATTCAGTAGGTGGTTGTATGTCCAATTTAAAGTCATGTGCTTTGTGAAGCTGGTGAAAACTTGTTTATATTATTAAAGCTTAATCGCACTTGTTACTTACACAGTTTGTGTCTTCGGTCTTGTTCTACACCAGGGGTGGGTAAACTACGGGCCACTGGCCACATGCGGCCCCGGCAACTGATATTATGCGGCCCTCACAGGCATTTAGACATTTTTTTAAAATACTTTGTTTTTAAGTTATTTTGTTGAATTTTTCAGAATTTCGTTTACCATTATGACTGTTTGAACATTTATTATCAAATTTCTTTCTAATTCTCTTTTTTTTTTAACAGTCCTTGACTTTTGTCATGTCATGCTTAAATGCGAATTTACTGATTTTAATATATAGAAATTTTTATCGACATGTTAAAAATTGGACATGATATACATGCGGCCCCCAAATAGCTTTACATTTGTCAATGTGGACCTCTGCACAAAAAGTTTGCCCTGTTCTACACCATAAGGACTTCACTCGGTTCACTTTGGTGTCGGGTTATTTTCCACTTTATTCCACAACATCATCAAAGTCTTACAAAAATACTCTCCTACAGGAAGATCTCAGCCACACAAAAAGCACCCAGCAAGTGTACAAACCGTATGGCTCACCTTCATAGGCAGAAGTCAAGGGTTGGCAGTAAATGGTCAACGCCTTCCTGTGCTTAAAGCTGTCATCATCCGACGAGTCTGACTGTTCGAGTGGCTTGGTGGTGATCATCATCATGAAGTGGCAGTAGGACACAATGTTGTGCAGGTTGAAGCCATTACCAAGCTTACGAAATCGCCTGTAGGTAAAAATTTGTTTAATGACTTTGACATCAGTGTGTTCACTGTCTGTATCCTTACACATTTTATAAGGATTTTTGGTGAAGACTGCACAATTTATCAACCTCCCAAAAAAGCATGTGAGCTCCATCATTAAAACACCTTGTCTATTTGACTTGCACCTATTGTTACAATATAGAAACTGTATAGAATATACTTAGAACTGTAAAGCTTTCATAAACCTTATCACTTTAAAACTGATGCTAACTACCTGATTCTGGCATAGAAGTACTTGGAGCCTTCTTTTGCTCCTGTTGTTGATGGAATGCCAACTGTTGGTGAAAAATATAAAGAAAATAACAGTTCATTATTTGAAAGCTGTGGGGGCCCAAATGTTCCATCATGTACATTTGGTGAATAATGCTAAAATCATTTTTAAACAAAGCCATTAATGGCCACTCTAAGATGATAAACCAAACATTAGTGGGTCTGGCACTACTCCTGAGTTACATTCATTAAAGACATTACACTAGAAACTCCATTTCAAAATGTTTTTAAAAAATAAATGCTTTACACTTAATAACATTATATTGATTATAATCTCATAATAAATGCTGTAAACTTTATAATAAAATATTGATTACTAGAATAAACGGACCGATGTTATCAGGATAATAATGGTAGGTCCTTTGCGATAATTTCTACCTGCTATTGCAAAACTCATCACAATTCCAAACTTCAAAAAGAATTTGCATGTAATGATATTTACATTTCTAACATCATTAAGTTTTGAGAAGTATTTATCTGCTATATGTTATATGCTTACCGTACTCCCTTTCATGCCCATAAACTACGTTTTTCTCTCTGAACATGGCCATAAATTACCCAATCTAAATTATTACTAATTATATCACTTTTGTCACTAAAGAAGTAAATTGAGGGACAATTTCTGCGCTAGAGAAATACTTTAGTTTTACCCCTCTTCCTGCCCATGAGCTTTAACTTTTTTCTCTAAAAATTGTGAAAACATAACCTTAAATTTACAACAAAAATTCTATATATGACGTATATATATTTCATATGAAAGGAATTTGATATATTAATATCTTCAAACAAACTTTTGACTTGTTTTTTAAAATTATACAGTATCAAAAAACGTAAAACAACAATCTTGCAACCGTTCTTCACGTCTATAACAAACTTGAGTGTCTTTTTTTTAAATTGCTAATCTCATTAAAATACACACCCACTTTTTTTTTCAAAAAGTAAAAAAAAAAACATTTTCATTTTTTTTTAAAGAAAACATTATCCTATCTCCATTTTTCAAAATTAAATTTTCAAGAGTGTAAAATGATTGGGTTTTGATATCCATGGGTATACTTATATAAATGTACCCACGTTTTGTTAACCCCATTGATTTCTTAATTGGTAAACATGTTTATTTGTAAAAAGAGAATGTAACATCTCTATTTTTCACAAATGTAATACCATAGGATTTAAATATATTGTCATCCACGTAAAAATCCTACTGCTGATATGTATGTACCCAAGAAGGTTAATAATTTATCTAATTCATTCCTCTTTTTTGTGACTAATCTTGTCCTGCCTGGGGTAAAATGACCAACACCCCGCCCCCTGATTTAAATAAATTAATCAAATCTTCCACCAGATTGTAGTCCCTTCCATGTCCAAACTAACATATTTTGCCCTTTATATGGTTTGTTCTTATTTGGATGAGTTATAAGGGGAATTAGTAAAAGCTGTTTGATTGACTAAAACGGCATCTTCTTATTAGAAGTATATTTAAAGATTAAGTTTTTATTACGTTATAAATTTAATAAAAGTATATTTTTGAAATTTAAAATAGTAAAAACTTTTAACTTTTTTTTTTTTTTTTTTTTTTTTTTTTTTCAATTTTAGAAATTCACTAAATAACCCCCTAAAAAAATTTTTTTTTTTTTTTTTTTTTTTTTTTTTTTTGCAATATTAGCAATGCACTAAATAACCCACTAAAAAAACTGATGTTTGGATTTTCCCGATAAAAGTGATTAGGGGTAATTTTTTTAACATAACTTTTTTTTAAATATTTTTTTTCATAACTTTCAAACACATATAAAATGCTTAAAATAGTTCCTTAGTTATTTTAAATGTATTTGTTTTTTAAAATAATAATAATACTAAAACTTTTACTAAAATAAAAGCAGATATATAATATTTTTTTGCGCATTTCAATTTATTCGATTTCCGTAAAATAATAGAAAATAACTAGGATTGTTTTTAAGAATCCGAACGTATCTAAATTTTATCGGTTCTTTAGGGTTATGGTCAGCATAGCTCATTCTTATATTTATAAGCCCTTTAAACCGTATAAAGATGCATTGATTAAAATGGTCAACTAGACAAGGGATCATCACAGCCATCATTTTTTCGGACTCACCAGAAGTCTCAGTGTGATCTTCATCATTGGAATGCTGAGCTACGCAGCTGTTCACCATATTTGTGTCTTTTTTATTCAGGAAGTCCTTCAGTAGTCTCCCTTTCCACCAATCCTTTATAATTTAAATTGGCACACAAACCAAAAAACTGTCAAATTTTTTTTAAGAATTAAATTTGTAACAATTTATAAATCATCTCTGCATCTTAAATTTATCTCTATCGAATATAATTATTTGAATTATATGTCAAACAGCTGATAAAACCAACAAAGATTTTCATATAAAAACTTGTAATGTGTGTTTAAAAAAAAATTAAAGAAACAAAAATTAAACCCGTTTGCACAAAATTAAAGAATATTTTCTCCCCGTTAATTGTACTAATTATGTACATTTGTAAACATTATAACCCATGAATTAGCTCAAAAGTAAGTCCTTGAGCAGTTAATATAATATAATACAATGCTTCTGAAAGTATATACCTCTAAGACTCAAATACTTAACAGAATTTTTAAAAATTACAACATTTAAAAAATTTAAATGTTGACTTCATAATTTCGGTAGGGACAAAATAAAATATATCTGAAATTAGAATTAATAGATTTTTACCTGGGTAATGAACACAGTTGAGGTTTCAATTTAAAATAGTTGTACAAGGCATCTGACTTAATCTAAGATTTTTTTTAAAACTTACTTTGAAAGTCTAGACAATTATTTGACTTTTGAAATGAAAAAAGAATTTATAACAACAATTTTTTTTCTTTTTAAATTAACAATTTTTAGAACAGCACTTTTTTAATTTGACAAAATGAACAACTGTTTAGCCACTGTTATGTTATGATAAAATGTAAACTGTAAACTGTCAAGTTACCACTGGGTATCCCAAGTGCTCCATCAGAGCTGGGGATGCTGACAGCACAACATGATTCTTTAATGACACAGATATGAACATATTGCTCTGAAGAATAAAACATTTCCTTTATTAATGGCACAGGAATTTTTATTTTGCTTTTTTAAAGAAAAAAGTTAAGTTAATGATACAAAATGTCAGTGGCGTAGCTAGGGTTGGTGTCACCCGGTGCGGTAAACTCATGGTGTCACCACCCCCCCCCCCCCCCCCAACGCATTTGGATTGGTTAAATTTGTGAAAAATATATGTGTGATCGGTTATTCTTTTATGAATCTCGATTTTTGCGAGCAATGTGTGCCCTGTAAATATGCAATTTTTCAATCGGGTGTCACCCCTAAAATGGTGTCACCCGGTGCGGTCCGCACCCCCCGCACCTGCCTCGCTTCGCCACTGCAAAATGTGCATTTTGCTTTGCCTTGACAATGAAATGGTATTCATATCAGCTGTAACTCGTGAAAGTGAAGGATAATTTCACTAATTATTTTATTTTCGAATATTCCACACTTGACAACAAAATATGCTTTTTTTTTTAAATTAATAAATTAACCTCATTGTAACAATACTATTTATAATATTTTTTTTTTAAATTCCACAGAAATAACTTTTACATCTCTGTCCAGGAAGGCTTCTTAAAGAATACACCAATTAAGTAGTATTTGTGACACATTTTAACCACAATTACTCACATATGGTATTAATTTTACATTTTGCTAGATTCACAATAAAAACAAAATATAATTACTTGAATTAGTATAATGCGATCTTGGCAAAAAAATTCACAATCCTTGTTATGAATGCAGAAGAGTAACTCACATAACAAGTTTGTGTGTGTGTGCCCGATTAAATATTGAATAATTAAAAGGACAAATTGAGGCAGAGCAAAAAAAAAATTTCCTCCTAATAATTTGTCAATTTTAGCAAAGGATTTTTTGGTCCATTCTATCATAGTTCATATTTTTCATAATTTAAACTCATCTATTTACAAGCAATGCTGAAATTTACATGAGAAAGTCTTTCGGAGTCATTTCCATGATAGGAACCACTGTGTGGAGGCGGGGTCTTGAACTCGCTGTGTCTCTTCTGTTCTTCTATTTAAAACAGGTACATACGATGTTAAAATCAGGTAGCAATATTAAAGTCAGGTGGCAATATTTATGTCAAGTAAATAATATGTTTTAGAGGATGAGTCAACTTTGAAGTGAATTAAGAGACACACACAAAAATGTGTCTAGATTAAATTCACATGACAGTTTCACACAAACTTCACTTCAATACATTAATGCCTAATAAATATTGTTGGATAAATAGTCAACGTCATCCCAACTTCCTTGACACCATGCTCGCCTCACACCCTTAAATCTGGGATTATTGAACTGCTGGAAAATACATCAGATTAGATTTTTTTTGCCATGCTTTATGATGATGTCATGAATATATTTTTAAAAATAGAATTTAGTTGCTGCGTTGTGAGGCTATTCATATCATGGAATAACTAAAAGTGATAATTAAAGCAGATTTTTATACTTATATAAATTCCATTACATTACAACTAAAGACTGAGCACTGTTTGCAAAGTCTGATAATCTGTTCTGATTCACTTGTTCCTAATGTCCAGCCATCAACTCAACGCACACAGGATCGAATCATTTTAAAAAAAGGATAAAAAAATTAAGTTTAACATAGAAAATTAAATAGCTGACCATTAAGTTGTCGCATGCTGTTGACAAGCTGCTCAAGGGTGGACAGTGTGTCCATCTTTCCGGTTCTCTCCTTCATAGGAAGCATGGACTTCAGCTTCTTCATGAATTCTTTAGCCCTTTCCTTCTTTTTTTCTTTGGACTGCATGGCGCTGGCCATTTCTGAGCTGCTCAGGACAACAAAGGAGAAAGGAATAATCAAGACTTCAAGTCTGTAAATATACAACTACTCTAAACTTAACAGGAAAGGGGAAAGGAAGAACCATGTATACATTGCGTCTTACAATTACTCTTAACTAAACCAACAGGATCAAGTAGTCTGCATGTATGGCATTGATGCCGGCACCCAAGATTTATTTGACTTTGTGACATACGATGTACACCACAGCCTTAAACATCACATTCTTAACATACTTTACAACAACAAAAAACAGCATTTTAAGATGGAGAATTTGGAATCTCACCTGCATCCGCTGGTAGATGGTGCCTCTGCAAGGTCACTCTCGCTGAATAAGGACAGAGAAAGGGAGGAGCTACTACTGGTCCTGGAAATACACAAGAGTGGAACTGGTCAGTGGGATGAATTTGAATGGGACAAACATACATTACGGCTAGCATGCAAGGATCAGTGCAAGGTTAACTTAGATTGGGATGGTGGACTGCTAAGATTGGGACATTATGTGACAGCTATTGAGTCAAAAAAGATTTGTGATTTTTGCATTTTTCTATTAAGTGTAAAAAAAAAAAATTTTTTAAAAATCGTGTCCCTTTACTTCAAATATGACAAATCAGAGCAGTGCCATACTTATTATAAAGTTTTATTTAAATTAATGGCCAGATGTTCAGATCCAGTTGGTTAGGACTAGATGTCAGCCAAATGTTCAATTTAGATGCATCATGTTCAGGGCCAGATGAAAACAATAATTTAAGATCAGAATCTCAGCCATAAGTTCAGATCCAGATGTGACCATATTTTCAGAGCCATTAGTTCAGGGTTAGATTAACATAGCCAGGTTTCAGTGAAATTTTAGCCATATGTTCAGGGTCAGTTGTGTATAGTCATGGTACAGAGCCACATGTCAGCCATATGTCCAGAGCCACATGTTCAGGACCGCATGTTCGCCATTTTTCAGAGTCACATGTAGGACAAATTTCAAGGCTAGATGGTAAATATCTTTCCCTCCCCCCCTCCCCCAATGCTAATACCAACCAAGAACAGGAAGCTGGTCAAAATGAAAAGTGTGAGTTCTGAGCTTGTTGTCACGGACCAATTAAATGACAGCAGTCAGTGGCGAGTTGACAAGACCCTGGAACATGAATTGATCGACCTGTTCGTTGGCAGCACTATCACTAGAGATGGCGACACAGATATACAGAATGACGTAGGGAAAGCCTTCCTTCTGTGTATGTGCGACACAGATATACAGAATGAAGTAGGGGAGGCCTTCCTTTTGTGTATGTACGTCGCTCTCTCTCTGTGTGAATGTCTGCATTTGTGTGTGTATCTTTGTGTGCGCGTGTGACAGCAGTGTGACTGTAGATGACTGTAACTCTATCTGTTTGCAGTGACGTAGGAAGGGGGAGATGGGGCGGTCCACCGGAGTGGCACTTTTATCTTTATTTTGAGCTACCCACCTTTTCTCTCTCTCCCTCTCCGCCTCTCTCTCTCTCTCTCTGTATTTTTGTGTGACTCAATGTGTATATCTGTGTTTGTGTCCGAGTGTGTCAAGGGTTAAATGTAGTGTGTCAAGGGTTAAATGTAGTGTTGTCAAGGGTTAAATTTAGTGTGTCAAGGGTTAAATGTAGTGTTGTCAAGGGTTAAATGTAGTGTTGTCAAGGGTTAAATGTAGTGTGTCAAGGGTTAAATGTAGTGTTGTCAAGGGTTAAATGTAGTGTTGTCAAGGGTTAAATGTAGTGTTGTCAAGGGTTCAATGTAGTGTTGTCAAGGGTTAAATGTAGTGTTGTCAAGGGTTAAATGTAGTGTTGTCAAGGGTTAAATGTAGTGTGTCAAGGGTTAAATGTAGTGCTGTCAAGGGTTAAATGTAGTGTTGACAAGGGTTAAATGTAGTGTTGTCAAACGCCAAATGTATTTGGTGCAACTTCATCTGGCTGCCAACATCCTGTTATCACAACTAGTGCCATTTAAGCCGTTATCAAAACTAGTGCCATTTAAGCCGTTATCACAACTAGTGCCATTCAAGCCGTTATCACAACTAGTGCCATTCAAGCCGTTATCACAACTAGAGTCATTTAAGCCGTTATCACAACTAATGACATTCAAGCCATTATCACAACTAGTGCCATTCAAGCCGTTATCACAACTAGTGCCATTCAAGCCGTTATCACAACTAGTGCCATTTAAGCCGTTATCACAACTAGTGCCATTCAAGCCGTTATCACAACTAGTGCCATTCAAGCCGTTATCACAACTAGTGCCATTTAAGCCGTTATCACAACTAGTGCCATTTAAGCCGTTATCACAACTAGTGCCATTCAAGCCGTTATCACAACTAGTGCCATTTAAGCCGTTATCACAACTAGTGCCATTTAAGCCGTTATCACAACTAGTGCCATTTAAGCCATTATCACAACTAGTGCCATTTAAGCCGTTATCACAACTAGTGCCATTCAAGCCGTTATCATAACTAGTGCCATTTAAGCCATTATCACAACTAGTGCCATTTAAGCCGTTATCACAACTAGTGCCATTTAAGCCGTTATCACAACTAGTGCCATTCAAGCCGTTATCACAACTAGTGCCATTTAAGCCATTATCACAACTAGTGCCATTTAAGCCGTTATCACAACTAGTGCCATTCAAGCCGTTATCACAACTAGTGCCATTCAAGCCGTTATCACAACTAGTGCCATTCAAGCCGTTATCACAACTAGTGCCATTTAAGCCGTTATCACAACTAGTGCCATTTAAGCCGTTATCACAACTAGTGCCATTTAAGCCGTTATCACAACTAGTGCCATTCAAGCCGTTATCACAACTAGTGCCATTCAAGCCGTTATCACAACTAGTGCCATTTAAGCCGTTATCACAACTAGTGCCATTTAAGCCGTTATCACAACTAGTGCCATTTAAGCCGTTATCACAACTAGTGCCATTCAAGCCGTTATCACAACTAGTGCCATTTAAGCCGTTATCACAACTAGTGCCATTTAAGCCGTTATCACAACTAGTGTCATTCAAGCCGTTATCACTACTAGTGCCATTTAAGCCGTTATCACAACTAGTGCCACTCAAGCCGGCGAGTGATGAAAAATGATAAGGAAAACAAGCAGGGCAATAAATTTACTCCTTGAAGTTTATCTATGGCAGATAATTGGGAATAGGCAACCACGATCATGTCACGAACGGAGAAGAGGCATTATAAATAGGTTAAAGCAGAATATATGCAGTACAACACTTTTGCTCAAAGTTGTAAGTTCCAGTGCACAATCAACACCTTCCTCAGAGAAACATGAGCGAAACCAGAATAAAACTGAAGCCAAACTCGGGAACGGGGAAGCAGGGAAAACTTTGAGAAAATCTTGAAGGATTTTGGAAGACGTTGAGGGGAACATTAGAAGACTTGCATAAAGATATCAGAAGACTTGCTTAAAAACATCAGAAGACTTGAAAGACATTAGTGGAAGTGGAGGACATCCGAAAACTTGGAGAAAGACATTTTGATAGTTGTTTTACGACCAAAGCCCGAAGTTCAGCCAGCCTGTGAAATGGCCGCCCTAAGTGCACATGCCAGAGAGGTGTGGCCAAGGCACAATGTACTGAAAATGACAAATAGCATGTGCATTTTGATCGAGTTTTCTCGAATTGGCGGCAAATCGCTTGCCAAAATTATATGTGCTGATGCCATTCTATCTTGGATTTTTCGTCGAGTAAAAAGATACACCAGCCTTACAGGGTACTCAAGCAGATATCTTTTTTTTTTTTTTTAAATTTAATTTCTTTCAATACTTTTTTTTTTATAGTGTGACATGCCGAAGGGCATTACCTAAAAGGGCACTGCTTAAATACCCCCTTGATCATAATGATGTTGGATCACAAAAAATTATATGTGCTGATGCCATTCTATCTTGGATTTTTCGTCGAGTAAAAAGATACACCAGCCTTACAGGGTACTCAAGCAGATATCTTTTTTTTTTTTTTAAATTTAATTTCTTTCAATACTTTTTTTTCGATAGTGTGACATGCCGAAGGGCATTACCTAAAAGGGCACTGCTTAAATGACCACTTGATCATAATGATGATGGATCACATGCCAATCATGAGCCATGAATTATCAGCTCCCCGATTTTACACACCCAATATCTGTGGCTTTTACATAGATCTAAATTGATTCAAATGCTATAATTTGTTTATTCCCACAAATTTTACGAAACATCTTATTAACTAAATATATATTACAGTAGAGGTGACAACAGAGAAGATGAGCCGAACTTTGCAATGGTAAGATGATAGATCACGGTTCAGGTGGCAAAAGAGAAGATGAGCCGAACGTTGAAAGGGTAAGTAGATATATCACGAGCCTAACCTGTGTACACAATTTCATTTCTATTGGATTACTAGAGGCATTATTAGCTCTGAGAAGACGAAAAGGATAGTGTCACAACATTTTATTTTTAAATATGGGCGGGATTATGCAAGATTACAATGTATAAAATTAGACAGAACAATCTCAACTGTTAGACTTTAAGAATTCGGTGCAACTAAACGAAGGGGCGCCACTAGTCTCGAAATGTCATTCATCTTTGCTCCGTCGTCGTTGCCATGGCGTTACCGGGATTCTAATGTCCTTTCAAAAGAGTCGAAACTAGATTGCTTACACCAACAACTATGCGATCAGAGGAAATTTTAGGAGTCTGGGACAAATGACCTACGACCTCGACTTCAAACAGCCCGCAACCCCCCCCCCCCCCCCCCCATTTTTTTTTTTTTTTTTTTTTTCAAACGACTGGTTCATGTAACCCTTAATATTATAGGAGGAGGTCGCCCCCACGTCAATGATATAATGCCTGAAACTATTTTCTAATACTATTCAGCTCTAACTAGACGTTCGGCCCAAAAGCCCATCTCAGGCCAGGTTCCATTCAATTTTCGACATTTATGTCATAAACTTCGACCTCTACAAACAACGTACTCTCCTTTCTAACAAATTCCTTACAAAAAGGTCGGGGTCTTGCCCTATGGCAGAACATGGTCTTTCCTATAATTGTGTTGTTGTTAGTGGTGGCGGAAGAAATGTTAATATCTGCTATAAAATGTTATCCAGTTTAAGTCCCGTTGATAAGATAAGATTATATTAAATTCAATATTTATTTTTTTTCTTTTGTTCATCCAAATACATGAAAATGTGTTTGATTACTACATTGCATAAATTCATGTTCAGCGTAGGGATAAACATTCTGATTATGATACACTTAAATCGGAACAATTCAAACGTAAGACATTTCATTATCTCACATTTTAAGCCAGAGCCATTCAAACATAAGACATTTCATAATCATACATTATAAGCCAGACCCATTCAAACGTAAGACATTTCATTATCTCACATTTTAAGCCAGAGCCATTCAAACGTAAGACATTTCATTATCTCACATTTTAAGCCAGAGCCATTCAAACGTAAGATATTTCATTATCTCACATTTTAAGCCAGAGCCATTCAAACGTAAGACATTTCATTATCTCACACTTTAAGCCAGAGCCATTCAAACTTAAGACATTTCATTATCTCACATTTTAAGCCAGACCCATTCAAATGTAAGACATTTCATTATCTCACATTTTAAGCCAGAGCCATTCAAACGTAAGACATTTCATTATCTCACATTTTAAGCCAGAGCCATTCAAATGTAAGACATTTCATTATCTCACACTTTAAGCCAGAGCCATTCAAACGTAAGACATTTCATTATCTCACATTTTAAGCCAGAGCCATTCAAACTTAAGACATTTCATTATCTCAAATTTTAAGCCAGAGCCATTCAAACTTAAGACATTTCAGTATCTCACATTTTAAGTCAGAGCCATTCAAACGTAAGACATTTCATTATCTCACATTTTAAGCCAGACCCATTCAAACGTAAGACATTTCATTATCTCACATTTTAAGCCAGAGCCATTCAAACGTAAGATATTTCATTATCTCACATTTTAAGCCAGAGCCATTCAAACGTAAGACATTTCATTATCTCACACTTTAAGCCAGAGCCATTCAAACTTAAGACATTTCATTATCTCACATTTTAAGCCAGACCCATTCAAATGTAAGACATTTCATTATCTCACATTTTAAGCCAGAGCCATTCAAACGTAAGACATTTCATTATCTCACATTTTAAGCCAGAGCCATTCAAATGTAAGACATTTCATTATCTCACACTTTAAGCCAGAGCCATTCAAACGTAAGACATTTCATTATCTCACATTTTAAGCCAGAGCCATTCAAACTTAAGACATTTCATTATCTCAAATTTTAAGCCAGAGCCATTCAAACTTAAGACATTTCAGTATCTCACATTTTAAGTCAGAGCCATTCAAACGTAAGACATTTCATTATCTCACATTTTAAGCCAGACCCATTCAAACGTAAGACATTTCATTATCTCACATTTTAAGCCAGAGCCATTCAAACGTAAGACATTTCATTATCTCACATTTTAAGCCAGATCCATTCAAACGTAAGACATTTCATTATCTCACATTTTAAGCCAGAGCCATTCAAACGTAAGACATGTCATTATCTCACATTTTAAGCCAGAGCCATTCAAACTTAAGACATTTCATTATCTCACATTTTAAGCCAGAGCCATTCAAACGTAAGACATTTCATTATCTCACATTTTAAGCCTGAGCCATTCAAACGTAAGACATTTCATTATCTCACATTTTAAGCCAGAGCCATTCAAACGTAAGACATTTCATTATCTCACATTTTAAGCCAGAGCCATTCAAACGTAAGACATTTCTCAAGCGCAAGAAAACCTCCAAGATGTGTTGAGGCAAGAATCTCCACTGGAAAAATTTGTTTCTATTGTCAACGTTTGTCTCCACCTTGTTCTCCTCTCCCTTGCCATTAATTAAACAGTCCGAGCTGGGAACATGCCACACTCTCGTTAGACTCATTTCTTTCTCATACTTGGGGAAACTACGTTTTTCCATGTGTGTAAAATCATTTTACGCCGATGGTTGCTCACCCGCCTCTCACACAGTAACAAGCACGCTTTACCGGTGGGTCTCCTCTTTGAATGCACGAGTTGGGTACAGTTTGCGATGAAGAGGAAATTACGTCACAAACCAACAAAACAGAAGATACTCTAGGGCATTATTATTCCAAAGTCTTCATCAAAAATAAATGAAAACACCATTTAAACGAATTCACACCCCACCCCCCCTTCAATCCACCCACCCAACGTCTACTTTTTTAAATTTATTACTGAAACCTTGAGTGACCCTGAAGTTCATCAATCATGTCTAAACTCGCGACTGCATAGCTTCAGGTTTCGAAAGCTTCTTCAAACCGTTCGGGAATTAGCTGGCCAACGTTATTTCTGTTCAACGAAAGCGAGGTCACGGTTTGGCACCACTTACAGTAGTACATTAAGAAATGGAAATAACGTGGAAGGGGGGAGGCGACATATAAAAAATGTAAGGGGACACACAATATGTGCGGGATCCCTGGAGAGACATCATGGTCGTGACGGGCGAGACCCCATACTTAAAGAAGGGTGTGAGTCCAAGGAAGTTAGTAATCATCGATGGTTAGTACACTTGCGACAGATGTTTTGGTCATTCTGGTGTAACCGGCGGAACTCGGGATGACATGTCTATTGACGACGAAAAAAGTAATTCAAAGGTAATCATCGTTGACTATGTCTCCACGGACCCCTCCCCTTTTCCCCAGCACCACCACCAAAAAAAAAAAAGACGTCCATTTTCCATCAAGGGAGCGAACATGACTGTCCATTATACACATCAGTTTTACATGAGAGTGTTGAAGATGTCACTTATCTGGTCATGAGAAGTTTATGTTGACTACTTCAGCCTGCGATTCCCAACTCCGAGGGATTTTTTTTAATAATGTGACATATTTTAAATAGCAGCAATAATGAGGTGATGTTTCTAATGCTTAAATATATATTCAAGATAGGAATCCAAAATGTGCATCAAGGCTAGAAATGTGCATGACTGATCCACTCAGTATCAAGGCTAGAAATGTGCATGACTGATCCACTCAGTATCAAGGCTAGAAATGTGCATGACTGATCCACTCAGTATCAAGGCTAGAAATGTGCATGACTGATCCACTCAGTATCAAGGCTAGAAATGTGCATGACTGATCCACTCAGTATCAAGGCTAGAAATGTGCATGACTGATCATCTCAGTATCAAGGCTAGAAATGTGCATGACTGATCCTCTCAGTATCAAGGCTAGAAATGTGCATGCAGTCAAGAATCCAGTTATATAAAAGACATATCTGTCTCAGCCGTATCAAGCCCCGCAGCCAAACAGAGCCCATGTCCTTAAAACACCAAATAAATTGAAGTTTCTTTAACTTTAATATTTATAGACCATCTTGAAAGGTGTAACGTTATTTTAAATGTACGGATGGATTGTAAAGACAATCTTTGCATCTGTGAAGTTATCAACCGTACGGAGGTCAAGGTCAATGCAGCTCCCACAAGACCGCCTCAAAAATGTTTGACACAATCACCGCACTGCGTTATTTAACACCGATGACATCCTTACTACCTCATCTTAGGTCAGAGGTGCCAGAACTTCAACATTGCATGATGACAGCTAAATAGAGCTCAGAGTCTGTGACCGCCAAGTCATGATATCAATAATAAGATAAAACATCACCAAACCCCCCCCCCCCCCCCCACCCCACGTTCCCTATCAAAGCTTACAGAAGGCATCACTTCGCCTAGATGAGAACAATATTTCCAATGTGTTCCAACCCTGTTGATGAAATAACTCGCTCTCTCTCTCTGTGTATCTCTCTACCTTTCTCTTACTCCCTCCCTAAACCACATTCTCTATTTCCCCCTCCTCCCCCACCCTACCTAAAGTATTCCTTCTTCTCCCTCTCTCTATCCTACATAAGTTACTTACGGGAAAGAGAGCAAAAGAGCATGCTGGACCCCCATCCCTAAAACAAAAACATACGAACTTTATTTTTAACAATCCTCTCCCTAACAGATCCCCCGGGGCATGGAGAGCGGGGGAGGTGGTGGTCGTCAGCACGTTTCGTAACATGGAAAGAAGACAAGCCCGATCGATATCAGTGACAAGGCTTCGCTAAAGTCTAGGCTTACGTGACGCGGTCCCTTCCACGGAACATTCAGTGCCATGAAGACTAGGAGCGGTTTCATTTTCTCAAATTAATAAAAGTGCTTTCACGTGAACACATAAGGGTGGTCTCGTCACACCCCGAGGGGGGGGGGGGGGGCCGAAATCCGAGGGGGGGGCACAATCCGAGGAGGAGGAGTCGCACTTTTGCGGCCGATGTCAGTTATTAGTTTGTGAAAATTACAGCAATCGTTGGGAGTTGAGTTCACGTATATTTAACTAGCCAATATACCCGGCGCTGCACGGGATTGCATTAGGAACCCGATCCTGGTAAGAACCCAAACCCATTCTGACCACGATCCCGGCACAATCCCTTTTTCCGGTGTGATCCCGTTCCCGGGGGATCCCGTTTCTTGTGGCTCCGGATCCAGGGGGGAATCCAGATCCCGGTCCCGTCGGTGTCTTAATCCCAGTGAGATCCCGATGGGCTACCGATCCCGTTAGGACAACGTTCTCTGTGGGATCCCGTTCCACCTAGGGACTCTCTTTTCCGATGGTATCCCTTTTCCCCGATAGGATCCCGATCCCGGTTTGATCGCGTTACCTGAGGGGATCGCGTAACAGATTGGTTCCAGTTTACTGTTGGATCTCGTTCCCCATTGGGATCCTATTCCTCTATTGCAGTGGTTTTCAACCTTTCTAATGGCACCACCCTTTAATAGAGTTCCTCATGTTGTGGCGGACCCCCAGCCACAGGTTGAGAACCGCTGCTCTATGGGATCATGCTCAGTGCGATTGTGTTCAAATAAGCTTTTAAATCCCATTAAATATCCCCGTAGAACAATAAGACCCTTCTGGAACATTCTAGTTTAAAATTAATATCCTCCATGAAACGTGTAAAAAAATTACTTTTCTACGTAATTTTTTTCTCGAATGCGAAATATTATACAACTTAATTAAACTACTATAACTATAGTACATTTAAAATGAAATGGGGGCCCCGATGGTAAAAATACCATGGTATAGCAGAATGTCGTCTCCTTCAAATCATTTGTTGATTAAAGCAAATATTGTGGGTGAAGCATAAGGATGCCACTGGTGGCATCACTGGAGTTGCCACCACGCATTTGGGTGGTAGGGATCCAGCTTTAAACCATAAAGGCGGTTTTCCGAGCAGCGTGTCATGATGTCACAGTGGCGTGTCATGATGTCACAGTGGCGTGTCATGATGTCACAGTGGCGTGTCCCTTCAGTGTGGTTTTCGAATCACAGTAATGCGTCGGATCACACTGGTTTAGATTCCCAAAAAAGTTCCAAAGAGTTATCGAAAGGTTTTTAAATGAAGCAATAAAATTCAATATACAAAAAACAACTAAAAAAAACCAAAAAAACAGATAATTGCACTCTCTTGCTCAAAGCAACGTATGCATCCCCTTCAAACTTGATACGTTTAACCTCATCTAATCTGGTATGATATCGAATCTAATATAATCTCACCGTTTCGAATATCAAATCTAATCTGAAAAAAACAATATTTGTTAGGAAGAAACGGGATTAAGGATTAAAACAGAATTGTAATAAATTATGTTAAGTATGTCGTTAGTGAGGAAAACAATTGTGTTTGGACAGTGCTGGGTTACATCAATTTTATCTAACCAATTAGAAGATGGTGGGACTACGATGTCCACGTACCAGATTCAAAATAAAAAAAAACTATGAGACAAATTCTCTGTCATGGAATCCGCAGGGCAGTGGAAAGAGCGCACTGCCAAGGGACACTTGGAGAAAAGGACCCTCAGAAGACATAGTCAGAGAAACAACAGAAAGTGGATGAGCTGGGAAGAATATCTCTGGTCAGAAACGAGTTGAAAGGATTTGTGAATGGTACATGCGGCTCTAAGTCGAAAGACAGATAAGGCCAAGAAGAAGTAATGTAATGTCATGAGGTTTTGGTTGGATAAAAAAAATACACACATTTCAGAAGAGAATAACACTGTTACTAGTTTTAAGTAAAGATTGAAATACACAAAGGATAATATCAACAAGAGGACAAGGTAGCGATGGTGCATACTGATTAACATTTTTAAAACTATCTATCTAGAGAAGGAGGCACGGACTTCAACTTTAATGAGGCTTTAGTAAAAAGTGAAATAGATAAAAGATAATATCTTTAAGTAAGAGGACATGACTTGATGACATTTAAAGTAAAGATCGAAATACAATAATAGAGTGCGGTGAAAAAAAAAATCTACATAACAATGAAAATCCGAGTGGACACGTTACCGGCCTATGTAATACCAGTCATGTGATCACGTAATGTGGAGCTATATATTATCTCATCTGAAGACGTCTGTTGGCCGTGGCGTACTTTGTTCCGTCTTAATAATTAAGTAACAAAGCTTCGCTTTTATTTGTCGCCGTGGAAAGATCATGTATACATTTTCACATCAGTAGTTCTAATTCACGGGCCTTAAGACCGCAGCGTTACCCTGACATCGTCTAAAGGCTTGACAGCACAACAGTTCGAGAAAAAAGAATTTCAGCGCAAGATCGTGAAGCATCACCTTTTATCTGGAATCGTTTTCTTTTTTGTTCCGACTTTGACCAACAGGATCCCACTTTACGACCAGATATCACACCGTCCTTATATTTAAGTGAAAGGAGACCCGCAAATAATTTGAGCTGTGAATTCGCAAATAGGAAATGAAGAGGTTTCGTTTCGCTTGCTTGCCTACTTGTTTTTATTCTGTTTTGTTGTTGTTGTTGCTTTCGTTTTGTTTTTTCGTGGTAACATTTACGGTGGGGGGGGGGGGGGGGCGGAGGAGATGGCACGAATTTTAAATGTCATTTAAATTGGTCAACATGTTTTGTGAAGTCTATTTTTTAACATTTCGCCACTGAATTTGAGCTCGCTCCTCCCTAAGGTTGTACGAGACCAGGGGTACGATGCCACCATCCCCTCACATTCAAAACCAACATTTGGGAGTCATCTGAAAACTAATTACGACCACAAAAGGGGAGTAGCCACGAAAATTAGCAACGGGGTGAGTTTAGGGTTGACAGATACGTGGACAGCAAAAGGAGGACATAATAAAACAAAAAAAGAGGACAAAGGAGGACATTTTGAATGTTTCATTTGAATCGTCCCGGATTAAACTCACAGTCAGCAAAATTTTATTGTAATAGCTGCCAATTAAGTGTATATCTTACTCTTAGTGAATCGACCAAGAAACAGTCACGTTAAAAAAACAAATTCAATGGACGCCTTTTTCAAAATTTCCAAAAACATCATTTAAATAGCCAATTGTACAATCATTACATTATAATCTTTATTAATTACATGGTTTCTATGTCTCTCACTGTCAACATGGCGCTTCAAGTCAGTAGCTCCTTTGCTGGCAACGGACAAGTAACTTTGCCTCATTCTCATTGCGTCCTTCAACGAAGCAAGGAAACTTATTTTTCATAGTGGTCGAGAATTTGCATTTTCTCTTTGTAGAAACCATTTTCGTAAACATAGACGGCAAAAATTACAAATTAAAAATACAATTTAAATTTTCGTCTTTGTTGCTGGAACCGGAAATAACATTAACATTTTGACCATAGATAATACAGCACAGAGCTAGATTGTTAGAATGACTAAAATCGACTGGTTCGCAGAAATGCATAGACTTTGTACATTGTAATAGTTGTAACAACGATACATAATAATTATAATATAAAATGTAAGAAAAGCCGGACATTTTAAAAGATTTTAGCTTTGCCTGCCGGACGGAGAATATTGAGCTAAAAAGTAGGAGAACGACAACACTGAGTGGGCCATTGCAGTAAGAGGGAGCTTTTGGGTAGAATGGTAACAAGTCGCAGTTTTGATAAGTTGATAAGTTTAATTTTAAAAAGAGCACAGAAGAAGGGGTGTGTTTTGGGATGGCACTTTGACTTTAAAGAATTATTTACATTTCTGAGATGCAACATTTCTGTGGAGTCGGAATAAACATTTTCAAACCGGAGTCGGTACACGTGTCCTTTCAGTAGGTCATTTACTTTTCTAAATGTTCCAACATAAGCGAGACATAAACTGTCTGGTTTCATGGGTGGACTTTGCGACGTCATTCTTCTTAAGAATAGTTGATCCGGGCTAGAAAACATCACTTTTCGTGACCACTAGTCAAATGCATTGAATTCATAGGACTGGAGATTATTTTGGTGGATTCCATTTTACCCTATTTCACACATGCTGAGAATCCCTGCATGTCAGTGGGTAAGTCATAATAAAAGTAATAATAATAACACTGAAGGGTTTTCAATTGCCTGATTATGAAGTAGTCTGTCTGTACTGTAACTGTAATCAAGGAAATAAGAGCCAACAATGGCCATGTTAGGGGAAAGTTATGCATGATGATAACAACTGACAGTATTTCTTCATGCCAGGTCCCACACCCGAGGTATTGTAATCAGGGGGGGGGGGCACATTGGCCTAAAATGAGAACCGTTGCAATGCGTCGGTCATTAATAAGCGACAACAATGGTCAGATTAGGAAAAGTTATGCACGCCAACAACTAACTGGCAATGTAGTCTCTTGTCAGGCTCAGGTGTAACGCTACCGCCCTAGTGTTACTGGCAATGTAGTCTCTTGTCAGGCTCAGGTGTAACGCTACCGCCCTAGTGCTACTGGCAATGTAGTCTCTTGTCAGGCTCAGGTGTAACGCTACCGCTCTAGTGCTACTGGCAATGTAGTCTCTTGTCAGGCTCAGGTGTAACGCTACCGCCCTAGTGCTACTGGCAATGTAGTCTCTTGTCAGGCTCAGGTGTAACGCTACCGCCCTAGTGCTTCCCTCTCCCAACCCCCACCCACACGGTCCAAAAAAGAAGCAGATCCATCTGGTGGCCCGATGATGACCAGTTTCGGACAGAGGCCGTTATTATCTGGCCGTGATCAATGACTTTCGCAGACGTGGAACTGGTTATTATGTGGCCAGAACGCGATGTTTGCTGCTTAGAGAGGACGTGGAATTGTGGTGATGGATGTTAGAAAATTAGAGGCCGTGTGACGCACGGCGGTTGTTGATGTGAGGTAAGACTTGCAGGCAGGGAGAGTGGAGGTAGGTCGGTAGGGTGTGTAAAGCAAAGACAACTAAAAGGGGGTGATGTAAGGCACCATGTGATTGGCAGACCACGGGGCCAGTGCCTGGAAACATTTCTTTACCGCTGTCAAATGGAGAGACTCGGACTATTAAATACTTTAAAATGAGGACGAGGTTATTTATGATTTTCAAGACGTTCTCTCCCTAAAAACTTTCAACTGGTCTTAAAATGTTTTCACTGGCCCCAGATGTTTCTTTCAGGCGTGTTGGTATGGACCAGAAGAAAAAAAAAAGAAGAAAAAAAGTGGGGGGGGGGGGCATTTCATGAGTTCTGGGATGGGAATCTGGGCATGCATCTACCAGCGTCAAAATTAGGCATTATGACATACAAAGCAGGCACTGCCTTTGCCCTCACCGCCCCCCCTTTTTTTTACCAGAGGGAGACAGAAATCGAGGGAATCTAAGGGAAGTTGCATTTTAAAAAAAGGCAAATAATATATTTTTCCTACTGCCACAATTTTTTTTAAAAAAGTGCAAATTGATTGCAACACTCACCCCTACCCAAAAAAGACAGATATGTCTGAAAGAAACAATGGTTGGCTCACAATTAACAAATTGTTGTTAATACTTATTAAAAAATTATGTGGGGTGAAAAGACTATTACACATGCATGTTCTTTCAAAATATTAGGTCCCTAACGCAATATCAATCATCACAAGATTTGTCATGATGATATATCCTTTCAAAGGGTGGTTCACGTGAACTGTGGTCATAATCCCGTATCACCAGAGGTTCTTAACTTTTTGCTCAAACGACCCTATACCAGTGAGATGAAGGCCATTTGCATATAATAAAATTGCAAAGGCAGCGTAACCCACGGACCCCCCTTCCCCCGCGCCCCCCCCCACGACACCTTTTTAAATAGCCATTGCTAGAGAGAAGTAGAAAATTTTGCTACGAAAGAGCTAAAGATAGATGGTAGAGTAACGTGCTTTACATTATTACACGGAAACATCTCCAGGTTACGTATGTAAGCATAAGATTTAAGATGTATTCCGGTATTTCGGATGCTGCAGACTTGGAAATATTTAAATATATAGCCAGACTACGCGTCAACTGCAGTTAACGATTTAATGGTGAATGTTTCGCATAGGGTGAAAAATGAACGGGCAGGGGAAATGGGTGATTCGAGATGTGAAAATGAAGTGAGACACAGGCGCCCTCACGTTTATTTTAAAAAAAAAAACAAAAAAAAACAGCTGAATTTTTAACCAATCCTTTCATACTTATATATACCGGGTTTGGCAACCTGTTTGCGGAATGCCGCACGGTATTTTTTGTTGGCCGACTGCATGATGATAATTTTCATTTAAGATGGGCTTGGAAAAGATGTTCTCTGTGGTGAATGACCTTCTTGGGAAGAAATCAGCACCCCTGTTTTTTAAAGTTTTTGCCTGACTTGAGAGGCGAACAAGCTGCAGTTAAAATGTGTGATTTTGACACTGAAAAAAATTGAAACAATCAGAAGGAGCTTTGGGGAACGTTGTGATTTGCCTACGGTGGAGAAAGTCTTTGAAGGTAACCATCTGGTGGAATTTTCCCCAGTTTCCCATGAACAATTAAGAAATATAATCATGGCATCTAGACCTACATCTTCTATTGTTGACCCCATCCCAACCAAGATTGTTTTGGACTGTCTGGAAGTCTTGCTTCCTGTACTGCCAACATCGTGACTATTAGCCTTCAGTCTGCTACAGTCCCACGTCTCTTCAAGACAGCGGTCGTTAAGCCTTCAGTCTGCTACAGTCCCACGTCTCTTCAAGACAGCGGTCGTTAAGCCTTTGCTTAATAAAAGTGGTCTGGACCCAAAGGACTGCAAGAATTTTCGCCCGGTTTCCAACCTGCCCTTTGTATCTAAGATTCTTGAGAGAGTTGTGTCACAGCAGCTTGTGCAGCATCTAAACACTTATGACTTACTTGACAAGTTTCAATCTGCATATCGACCTGGGCACAGCTGTGAGACAGCACTACTCCGTGATATGAATGATGTTCTTTGTAGTGCTGACCGAGGCGATCTGACAATTTTGATTCTGTTGGATCTCAGTACTGCCTTTGATGTGATCGATCGTGAGCTTATTCTGTAAAGACTTCTGAATGTGGCAGGCATTACTGGAACTGCACTTCGCTGGTTTTCTTCTTATCTGACTGAAAGGAGTCAGCGTATTGTGGTGAGGTAGCATCTTCCATGGACACTTCCGTTACCTGTGATGTGCCACAGGGCTCAGTTTTAGGACCTATTCTGTTCTACATGTACACTAGCCAGCTCGGCAAAATTATTGAAAGTCATGGTATTTCCCACAAAATATTTGCAGATGACACAGAACTATACAAGTTTTTCCGCCCTGATCCCTTGGAGTGTGCTACTGCTGTCAGGCTGTCGAGGACTGCTGTCTTGATGTGAACGATTGGATGTCATCAAACAGACTAAAATTAAATGATGATAAGACTGAGACAATTATTTGTGGTTCAGACCCCAATCTTCGGAAAGTTGCCATTGCATCAATAAAAGTTGATGAATCAGAGATCCTGTTGGCCTCGACTGTCAGAGACCTTGGCTTTTATATTGCCAGTAAACTTAGCATGATTCCCCATATCAGTTCTGTTGTCAGGGCATGCTTCTGTCATCTGCGTGCCCTGGGTCAGCTGCGTCCTCAACTCATTAGGAGAGCAGAAACTCTAATCCAGTCAAGATTAGATTACTGTAATGTAGTTGTTTGTGGGGTTTACCTCAGAACCAAATTCAGAGACTCCAAAATACTGCAGCACGCCTTGTATCGCGGATGAAAAATCTGACCACATCACCCCAGTTCTACTAACTACAAAGTTCTGTCCCTGGTGTACAGCTGCAGAGATGGCTCAGCACCGGAACTTCTCATGGAACTTATTTATAAACATGTAGCCGTGAAGAGCCTGCGGTCTTCTTCACAGTACTTGCTGAGTGTTCCTAGTTTGGATAAACACAGAAAAAAGTCGTACGGAGTGCGCTCTTTTGAAGCGATAGCGCCAAAATTATGGAACAGTTTGCCTCAATCTTTGAGGGGAATTGTAAATGATAAAAAATCATTTAAGAAACAATTAAAAAGTGAGCATGCTAAAATGGCATGGATACCCGCGCGATATAAATATCAAATCAATCAAAAGTAGACTTATGCCGAGTTCATTTTACAAGCAACAACAACAACAAAAAAATCAGTTGAATAATTTTAAAATGATTATTAAATTAATGTTCGAAGGTTTTAACAGATGGTCCACAATTTGTCGATTTGACGAAAAGATGATTAAAGTTCTCAGAAGGTCTTGCGGGGCGCATTCAACGTTTCAGGGGGGGAGGGGGGGGGGTCGCATCTTGCCCACCTCTGTATTATGCTATGTAACGAGTGCTGGAGCCCGGAAGTCCTTGAAAAAACAACGGCTGCCACAGTTCACAGCAGGTAGGTCACAACTATTTCGACTACTAACAACGAATCTGACTCCCAGACTTTTAGCCAAAGCCTTGGTAAGAGCATCCATCAATGTATCAAAGAAATGAAAATGTACTCGGAAACAAAATAAGGAACTTCACAACAATAAAATAAACTAAATGAAAACAGTATTGCGATACAATAGTCAAATAAAAACTCTGTAATAGATGTTTGGGAATTTCCGGACGGTTATGGCAGTTTGGTAGAGGTAGACGCTGACAAATGTATTTTAAATCTCTCCCACGTTCCCTGTGGTAGTTCTCATTAATATGTATGTTTGGTTTTTGTTTTTAATAAGTTTGCAATGTCAGCAGTGTTCGCGTGCACATGGTGCGAATTGATTTGACGACCAATACGACTGAATGACAGCATCAATAGGTCAATGACGTTGAACATGAATCCTATGGGAATGTTTTGGGGGGGGGGGGAAGGGGGGTCACGTTGGAATAAATAGAAATAACATAAAATCGATGGGTTTTTGGGTTTTTTTGGTGCTGTTTTGTGTTTTTTTTTTTTTTTTTTTTTTTTTTACTGAATGACAGCATCAATAGGTCAATGACGTTGAACATGAATCCTATGGGAATGTTTTGGGGGGGGGGGGGGAGGGGGGGGCAGGTTGGAATAAATAAAAATAACATAAAAACGAGGGTTTTTTGTGTTTTTTGGGTGTTTTTTTGTGTTTTTTTTTTTTTTTTTTTTTTTTTTTTTTTTTTTTTTTTTTTTTGTTTTTTTTTTTTTTTTTTTTTTTTTTTTTGTTGTTTTTTTTTTTTTTTTTTTTTTTTTTTTTTTTTTTTGTTTTTTTTTTTTATTGGTTGTTATTTTTTATTTATTTTTTTTTGTTTATGATGGTGGGGGGGCACTTTTCGCGTTTACCAAGGGCAGCATTAGGTCAAAGTACGCCCCGGTTTCCCACAACCCCTTTTAGGAAATAATCCATATCCTTTATTCTGAGTTCAGGGTCTACCTTTTGTTATACTATACATCACGACAGCGAATTGTATATATATTTTTTTTTTCCTTTCACACTTTCGGGCGCGTATTCACTGACCCAATTAAACTGCAATTGTTTAAAGTCTACTGAACTTCAATTTCATCAAACTAAGGCGACCGACTCACAAAATCCGCCTTTTGATCATTTCGTCTTACGAAAAGTTGCTTGTGTTGTTTCTTTTAATTCTTCTCTCTCACCCCCCACCATGGGCGCCCGCAGAAAACTTTCTGGGGGGGGGGGGGCAAAAAATTTTTAATGTTTTAATATAGTTTTAATTTATTGTAGCGTTTTTGTATGGAGAACGAACGGACAGGACATCAGCTTAGTTACTTTCTCTTTATTTTCTCTTTTTTTTAATACTTTTTTTGGTCTATTTTTGTCTAAACATTTTTTATCCAATCAATCCANTCAGTTCAGGGAGACCAACAGCATTACAAGTATATTCAGTTCAGGGAGACCAACAGCATTACAAGTATATTCAGTTCAGGGAGACCAACAGCATTACAAGTATATTCAGTTCAGGGAGACCAACAGCATTACAAGTATATTCAGTTCAGGGAGACCAACAGCATTACAAGTATATTCAGTTCAGGGAGACCAACAGCATTACAAGTATATTCAGTTCAGGGAGACCAACAGCATTACAAGTATATTCAGTTCAGGGAGACCAACAGCATTACAAGTATATTCAGTTCAGGGAGACCAACAGCATTACAAGTATATTCAGTTCAGGGAGACCAACAGCATTACAAGTATATTCAGTTCAGGGAGACCAACAGCATTACAAGTATATTCAGTTCAGGGAGACCAACAGCATTACAAGTATATTCAGTTCAGGGAGACCAACAGCATTACAAGTATATTCAGTTCAGGGAGACCAACAGCATTACAAGTATATTCAGTTCAGGGAGACCAACAGCATTACAAGTATATTCAGTTCAGGGAGACCAACAGCATTACAAGTATATTCAAGATCAATTGAGTACCTAACCTACCACACCGCCTTTTTCTTTTCTTTAAAAAACTGGATGCCTTGTTTGTCCCGTGGACCCTAAAAGGCTAGGGGCCGCGGGGCACCTATGCATATGCCTCCTTCACCGTAATGTTAATGCTACACTGGGAGAAAGGGAAAAAAAGTGGAAAAAGGGGGGGGGGGGTGATTGCAAAGGCTGCTTTTTTTCCAAATTGATTTTTTTAATTTTTTTGTTGCCATTTTTAATATGCTTTACTTAAGAAGTAATAAAAGATTCCGGAATTTAATTATCTTATAAATTTTCATAAATTAAAGTTCATACCCAAGACTGACACACGCGGCCGATCTTTCAGTAGAGAAATTCGTCTGACATCGTGGTGACCGAATCTTCATTGTTCATCAAAAAACAACTGCCTTGACCTTTATGACTAGTTTTAGGTGATAATCAACGCTGATTTATGATAGCAAACTAAACTAATTAACGGGTTAATGGCTACCAATTTTTCTCCCACAAATTAAAATGTATTGATTGAAGCTATAAATACGATATAGTTAGTAGAAGCTTTCTATGATACAATGCTGGAAGTAACACTCGAATTTAGCCACCACTTTTAATAAAAAAATTTAACGTTTATTGTTTTTATTACGACCGGCGGTCATTGGTACACTTCCGCGAAGCACCAAATGTCACCGATGTTGTCTGAGCTTAAGTAAACACCTTCATTTTGATACTGTATTTGTTTGTTTTTTTCTACCGAATTCGATCTTGTATGTCAGGCCTGTATGTCGGTGAGATACGGCATCAGTGTTACCACAGCCTAAGGTCAAAGGCTTGACCACAAATAAACAACAAAAGAAACTTTTTTTTCCCCAGGATCTTCTAGGGCTGAGCCCGGTACTGACCCGGATGCCAGAAATTCGGAGTATTAGCACACCCGGCAAATACCCGGACCCAGATAACACGTAAACGGATCCGGGTGTTCAAAAAATTATTTCTCATTTTCTAAAAATAGTGTTGTATACCCAACGAGGAGGAGAGGAAAGTGCGTGCATAGAGCCAGTTCATGTTTTTTTACATAATTTTTTTAACCCGATTTTAAATAAACGATATAAACAATGACTAGCGATTGGAGCGAAACTAAATGTAATCTACTAGTAATCTAAATGAAACCGCAAAGCTCTAAAACTAATACAGTATTTTATACGAATTTGATGTAATTATTTATCTTTAAAAAAAGAAACTTTGGTTATGACCATGGCACTTTCTATAATGATTAGTATTTCATTTGACAGGCTGACTGGATGATTATACTGAGTAGCCAATAACTGAGTCCCCTCAACAGAACTCTTCATCCTTCTTAGCCCTTATTTCTGCTTCACAAATTTAAGTAGACTAACAAAACTTTTTACTTACAAAACAAGCTCTGCCCCATCCCACATCACAAAGCACTGCCCCATCTCACATCACAAAGCTCTGCCCCCATCCCACATCTCAAAGCAGTTCTGCCCCATCCCACATCTCAAAGCTCTGATCCATCCCACATCTCAAAGCTCTGTCCTATCCCACATCCCAAAGCTCTGCCCCATGCCACATCCCAAAGCTCTGCCCCATGCCACATCACAAAGCACTGCCCCATCCCACATCTCAGAGCTCTGACCCATCCCACATCTGAAATCTCTGCCCCATCCCACATCTCAAACCTCTGTCCCATCCCACATCACAAAGCTCTGCCCCATCCCACATCTCAAAGCTCTGACCCATCCCACATCTCAAAGCTCTGACCCATCCCACAGCACAAAGCACTGCCCCATCCCACATCTCAGCGCTCTGACCCATCCCACATCTCAAATCTCTGCCCCATCCCACATCTCAAACCTCTGTCCCATCCCACATCACAAAGCTCTGCCCCATCCCACATCTCAAAGCTCTGACCCATCCCACATCTCAAAGCTCTGACCCATCCCACATCACAAAGCACTGCCCCATCCCACATCACAAAGCACTGCCCCATCCCACATCACATCGCCCTGCCCCATCCCACATCTCAAAGCACTGCCCCATCCCACATCACAAAGCTCTGCCCCATGCCACACCTCAAAGCAGCTCTGCCCCATCCCACATCTCAAAGCTCTGTCCCATCCCACATCACAAAGCTCTGCCCCATCCCACATCTCAAAGCTCTGCCCCATCCCACATCACAAAGCACTGCCCCATCCCACATCTCAAAGCTCTGACCCATCCCACATCTGAAATCTCTGCCCCATGCCACATCTCAACAAATGTTTCACAATTACAAATTCAGGTTTATTCGGGTCTTGGGTCGCCAGAACTTGGTAAATGTAATGAAGGGGCCGCGGCACTAAAAAGCACATGGAACCACTGGATTAGGATTAAATTATTAATTTATAAGTGATTTGAAATCAACTTTAATGCTTTCGTGATCGCTGCTAGTTCTTTAATACAATTTTTACTTCACCCTGTTCGGTGAAAGACATAGAAAATGAGAATAAAGCTTTGTCTCTCTTTTGTTACACCCGGCCCACCGGGTATTTTATCAAAATACAAGGTGTAAAAAAATTGCCCTCTTGAACATGTGTCATATAATGTGCAACGGAGCGCCGCCCAGACTCCCCAGGTGTGAAGCCCATACGTCTTCAATGGAGTTACTCGCCGCTTTTTGTCTTCACTTCTATGACGCACGTGGGACGGGTCAAAACGAGGTCAGTGTCTAAAAATACAGCGGTGACATTTTTGGATCAAACTGCTCCTAAAAATAGCACGGCGCATCATGTGGTTGGCACCGAGGGCAAGGAGACAACGTTATACAAGATCGTGAAGCGGGGCGTAGGAAAATTATGGGCGAGGATCCTATGAGCTTTTTCAAATCAACGAGGTTTTTTGTTTTTTTAACATTATTTGTATCTTAGGTAGGGTAACAAGGTGACCGGGGGTGGGGGTAGCGAATAAGTGGTCAAGACCAAAAGTGTCCAGTTTATCTTCTGTCTTTAGCTTTATTTCCACACCAGGTGACATCCTAGACATGACGGTACAAAATATCTTAACTCTCTTTCCAACACAGAGCGCATTACTACCCCATTCCCCCAAACTTTTTTTAAAACAACATTGAAGAAAACGTGTGCTATAATGCTACTGGTGAAAATATTTTTTTCCAAAGATTTGGAACGATTGGCGTCCTCTTTTGAAACACTAAACATTGACCTCCATCAAAATCAAAGAATGTGTGCCATTTAGCCAACGGATTCACTGGAAGTTAAGAGCAGGCTTAATTTATGTTTCTTTCATACAGGGATCCAGTTCAGCCTTCCGAATTGAAACAGTTAGCTTCAAGCCTGGCTGCAACTGAACGGGGCCAAAAGAAATACCAGAAAAACCGGAGCCAAAATAAATACTACAGTTCTGTGGGGCAACAAGTGCAGCTTCATCACAGTCTATAGGCCCTACATTATATAATTTGAAACAAATAGTTTTGAAATTTTATTTTCACGGGGCCTCCTTTGTTGCACTTAACACAAAAATTTTGTTTCTACTAAATAAAGGAAAATAATTTCCAAATTAAATTAAGTTGTGACTAATTATTTTTTTCAAAATAAGATTCCAAGGTTAAAATTTTAAAATAAGGAAATCAATGATTGACCAAGATTAGACAAATTAAAAATTACCTCCACATGAAATACCTAATTTCAAAACTTTGGGCTTCCACACAAATTAGAAATATAAGTATTTAAATAATTAAGTAAGAAGATACATAGAATCAGCACATAAATCACAGGGTTAATTAAAAAAAGGGGGTTAAAAATGACCAAAAGCTTTACTTTTATTTTTTGTGCAAGAAATTTGTTTTTTAAAGCTTAGCAGTTTGAGTGACTAAACTCTCTGTAACAAAGAAGTCATGTTTTTTACCACCCCTGGGTGAGGGTGCATCAAATTACAATCTTTGATCAGTTAGTTGTTTATTTTAAATAAAAGGTCAGAAACAATGCTGAGATTTGAAGTTAATTCTGGTTCATTAATTTTGTATTCACTTGATAAGTGCAAAATTGTCAAAGTGTATTACTTTTACTGTAAGTCCTATGGGGCCATCCATAAATGATGTCACGCAAATTTTGCCAATTTCTGATACACCTCCTACCTTATCATCACAAAAGTTAGACCCCCTTCCCCCTGAATATAACATTACAAACCTCTGCGACCCCCCCCCCTATAAAAAATCCCTCCGGCCACTACTGTCCTTTACAAACCCTTAAAAAAAATCACTCCCATGGATATTGAATTACTGCACAAGTGTCAGAAACATTTCCCTCTAACAGTGGTATTTAACCAGGGAAGCACCCCCCGAGAGGCGGAAGACCCAGAAAATAGTATTTACTGCCATTGTTAGTTGTTGCTGCATTAAAAGAAACAATCAAAACTTTTACGCATTTTGATTAGCAGAAAGTAATTTTTTTTTTGTGAATTTTGCTTTCGCATTACTTGTATTGATAAATTTCTTCTTGTATCAAAAAATGTAATTAGATAAATAAAATGACAATAACATAACTTTATTATTTAATTATTATCATTTAAAAACTTTTATTACAATAAAATTTATTTGAGGGGGAGGGGGGTGGTTTTGAAATTGAGAAGGGATGCAAAGTTAAGAATCCCTGCCCTATCACATTTACTTAGATCCCCCCCCCCCCCGATGTGTGAGGTCACATCTTCAATGGATTGACCTAAGCTGGTCTTAAGCAACTGACATCCCTGTTCATAGATCCTGAGCTAATCTTAAGCAACTGAAATCCATGTTAATATTAAAAACTTCTTCTAGAATAAAAATTATTTGAGGGGGAGGGGGGGGGTTTTAAAATATAGAAGGGATGCAAAGTTAAGAATCCCTTCCCTAAAACATTTATTTAGATCCCCCCCCCCCCCGATGTGTGAGGTCACATCTTCAATGGATTGACCTAAGCTGGTCTTAAGCAACTGACATCCATGTTCATAGATGCTGAGCTAATCTTAAGCAACTGACATCCATGTTAATAGATGTTGAGCTAATCTTAAGCAACTGACATCCATGTTAATAGATGCTGAGCTAATCTTAAGCAAGTGACATCCATGTTAATAGATGTTGAGCTAATCTTAAGCAAGTGACATCCATGTTCATAGATGCTGAGCTAATCTTAAGCAACTGACATCCATGTTAATAGATGCTGAGCTAATCTTAAGCAACTGACATCCATGTTAATAGATCTTGAGCTAATCTTAAGCAAGTGACATCCATGTTCATAGATGCTGAGCTAATCTTAAGCAACTGACATCCATGTTCATAGATGTTGAGCTAATCTTAAGCAAGTGACATCCATGTTAATAGATGTTGAGCTAATCTTAAGCAAGTGACATCCATGTTAATAGATGCTGAGCTAATCTTAAGCAAGTGACATCCATGTTAATAGATGTTGAGCTAATCTTAAGCAAGTGACATCCATGTTAATAGATGCTGAGCTAATCTTAAGCAAGTGAAATCCATGTTAATAGATGCTGAGCTAATCTTAAGCAAGTAAAATCCATGTTAATAGATGTTGAGCTAATCTTAAGCAAGTGACATCCATGTTCTTGGGGACCACGCAGACCTTTTCCACTCAACATCACCCTCCTACCCACAAATGGATCCCACACAAGTTCTTTCAGCTCAATTAACTTAAAAAATCCTCTATTCATTTCTTACTCACCCTGTGATCATTGAACCATAACAGGAGTCATTGACATTTGCCGACTTTGCTTGCTTCAATTTCTTTCTTTTCTCTAGAGGTTGCTGTTCCATTAGTCCAACTTTTCAGCGTTCACTCAGTGAGATGTCTGATGCATTAATTAACTGTTAATACAATCAATGTGATCCATTTATTGAAGGTGAATATGATAACTACCTACATTGATTTGCTTTTATATGATGCCTTAATTTACTGTGCTTTCAATGAATGAAAATAATTAATTTTCTCTGCTCCCTGTTATAGCCAATATGATGAATGATTTTTATTTTGACATAAATAATGTCCTTAGTAAACTAATGACCCAGAAGTAATTTAGATCTAGCTCGGTGGTCCTGAACCGCTTTCAATCAATGTTCCCCTCCCTAGCCTCCCTATGAAGTGTCAAGTACACAATGACAATATCATTTAGTGAGATTTCATTTTCAGCTATTTACTTAGTCCTAGTCAATTCCATGTAGAAGCTTCAAAAACTGTCATAAATGTATTTGTGGAGAGTAGAGGCTATTAATCGTTGTTCACTGGATAATACGTACAATAGTATCATCATTTGTTCAGTGGGGATAGCTTAATTTGCTTTCACTTAATACAAGATGACAGCGACCTTACTCATTCTAGAATCAGAGGATATTACTATTACTATAAGTACCATTTACAAGTACAATAAAATAACAGCTTTGATCTAATTAAATTTAGCATGTGATCAATAATCATGAATATTTTTAATCAACTGCATTAACCCGGATCACATTTGGTGTGATAATCAAGTTTTTGCTGTAATTTATTGAAATTGGTGGGGAAATAGGAGAAATTAATGAAAATCAAACTGAAGATCGAGTATCACTGCAACAAATTCTCTTCTGGTACATTATATAATTTGTATAAATATTTTTTTCTAACATTGAGTCAAAGTAAATAGCTTTAATTTCATATTATGTTGTGAAAATAGGTTGGGCGGCAACCATTGAGAACCACTGCTCTAGACTACTCTAATAATTTAGGAAGCCTACTCTCAGTCACATTCTACCTCATTTAGTTTAGGTGTACAGCAGCTGATACATAAATAGTCATGATAATTTTATTAATAATTTTTTTATGACTTTGCTGATGGAGGTTTTTGTAAGCATAAGATTTTACATAGTTTATTAGGACTTTAAAGTTGAAAATATTGAGGGAAAAAAACAATTTATTGGCAAATGAACCACTAGTAATAAATAAGTAACTAACACTTACACTTACTCTTACAGATCTGAAGACTGAAGAGTAATATTAATGATTATAATAAATTATAATTATAAAAATAAATGTCCATGGCCATAATGTATGTCGGTGGACCGCTATCCGCTAATGTCACTAATGATCAATGTAATTGTAATACAAAGGTAAAAAATTTAAAGCATACATTTACAGTTCTTTAACTATAACTAATGGTAATAGTATATTAATGTAATAAATAAGCTAGTATAGTTCAAGTGAGTAGCAGTATCAGTAGCAGTAGATGTTACTGTTGTCAGTATCATTCGGTAGTAATTAGTTACTTGTTAGCTCAAGATTCAAGTAAATTAGTTAGTATGCTAATACTAATTACTAATAACAATACACTTATTCAATGCAGGCTAGTAATTCGGAAAGAAATTCATAGGTAATCGGTCCAGGGCGATTTGAATTACCCCAGAAAGTAAAGACTAAAGACACAGTCCTAGCTTTGACAAGAGATCAGAGCAGGTAAAAAAAAATAAACCACCTGAATCCGGTACATCAAAACAAGCTCTGAGTCTGAGTAGTACAACAAGCAGACGAGCGTGTTACGTCACATCCAATGAAATGATCAGGATTTTTTTAATGGGCTTAAATTAGACTTATTTTAGATGGGTGGTGAAATATAATAAATCATTTCAAATTCAGGATAAAATTTTAATAGTATAAAGAGTTTTGCAGTAACAAAAATTATTGTCTCTGAAATACTGGGAATACCTATTACTTTTTCCGGAGATTGCATTATATAATTTGCAGTGCTCGGGGTTTCCAGACCCGTTCGCTTGTTTTCATGTCACATGCATGAAAGCGTGAGAAACTCGGCAGCCTTCGACTGATATCGATTTTGAAGAGGTGTGTGGTGCGGTCTAATAGTGAAAATTATCCAGGATTTTTTTTTTTTACCTGTAAATAAATAAATAAAGTTATCTAATTATCACAAGCATTTTTCATGTTGAGTTTTCTTTAAATTATGTGTAGTTAAATAAAAAAATACTATTTAGACTATTCAGATATGAAATACAAATAAAAATGCAAATTATATCACATTGAACGCATTAACTGAACCGGGGGTCGGAGGGGGGTGTTAAAGATATATTGATGATTTATTATTTTTTTAATTTATAGGTCTTCAAATTGTATCGACATCCCAAGCTCCCCAGAATCCATTGGAGGCGAAGCAAAATCAACTATACGAATGCTCAGGATACCCTCCTGTAGGAAGGCCTACCTCATCAGGAGTCATCAGTGATGGTTTAATTGCAGTTGACTACCAATACCATAATAATATTACATCTAATTTCAAAATTTCAAGTCCTTCAAAGATGTGTCATCAGCATAATTAAGACATTTATAGTGATGAGGTGGTTATAGAAAGGAATGGGAAGATATTTGTAGAAGCTGTGGGTCTGTGGGTCAGTGGCGTAGCAAGGGTGTTTAACGCCCTGGGAAAAGATTCGCGCCCGGGGACAAGATCCATTTTTAGCGCCCCTTTTTCTTTTTTTTCAACTCTCAAACCCATTATTTTCATCAATAAAATATTATCAAAGCACATTTTGGCGCCCCTAACGAGCTGGCGCCCGGGGACATCTGTCCCCTCTGCCCCCACCACGCTACGCCTCTGCTGTGGGTTCTTTGAGGTAACTAGATAGAGCATTACAAATAGGCTCGGTTCGGAGAATACAACCAGTGGTGACAATCAGTGGCGTAGCTAGGGATAATACCACTAATTTTCGCCCCCATCCCCGCTAAGAAAACAAAACTGCAGCTGACACACAAACAAAAACCCACCGTTCAACATGTAGAAAAAGGTGCGAACAGGGGTCCCGTCTTACGCTTGAGTGTGCAATCCCTAAATATTTCTGAGTTTTTAAATAGTTTTATGTTCATGTTTTTTCCTGTGACGGGACCCGGGTTCAATTTTAGACCCTGCTTCTGTGGACTGTGGTTATTCGCGGATAAATTTCTCCCTCTAATCTCTTTTAAATTTATTGCTAAGTGAGTCAATTGCATGCTGTACAAAATTACTTTAATTGAACATAAAATGCACCCTATACCCCCAATAAAAACAACAAACAAACAACTTTTAACAGAAATACTTATATACACTATTTGGAAGTGTCCTGATAAATCCGATGGAAAGTATTGGACATTCTATCAAGGTATTGAAATGTGCTTATACACCTTATTAGCCGGAAACTCCCGAATCCACGACCTCAATTCCAATAATCTAAATTTAGATGTGTGTCCCCGACCTTGTTATATTTTTCGTAAAAATTAACTTGCCGGGTGACAAAAGAAGAAAGAGAAAAAAAAAAAAAAAAAAAAAAAAAAAAAAACAGAAAAAAAAAAAAAAAAAAAAAAAAAAAAAAAAAAAAAAAAAGAACAAAAAAAAAAAAAAAAAAA